TACTGAAGGACGAGACGACAAACTAATACAGACATAGATAAACGAGTTTTCATGACCTAGACTCCCTCCTACCTTCACTAGGCTCGTCGTCAACAATAAGTCTTCCATGTCGTGTTGTAAAAGGTCAAGCGAAGAACAATATAAGACATTCCACACTCAAGTTCTAAAGGGACTAAAAAACTGTGCGTGTGGCCAAGACCTAAGACTAAACTGAAAGTCGCTTCTGTTTACGATCAAGTCACTAGATATACAGTACCTCGCTGATCTATACATACTTCTGTTTCAGTCACTCGAGTGAAGCTTATGGACAAGTGTACCCAACTACCCATGTACCAGAAGGTTTAAAGGATAAATTTCTGTAAAAAAAAGGCACAGAGAAGTTAGCCTTGGTGTTGGTTGTAACTAAATATATCTGTTTGGGTTTACGACACCAATTGTAAATATTTCACTACTTGTTAACGGACAAATAAAATGTACTATACTTGATATTAAGAAGTCATAAGAATATTACTAAGTATTCAAGAGTAACTATAACGTGTTCTGATTAATTCATTTTACTATTAAACTCCCAGCCATTCCCTAAGACTTACAAAAAATTATCTCCGGTAAATTTTACCTCGTGAGAGGTAACTGTCAGGAAGAAGTAAAAGAGATAAGATAAAGAGGAGAATAAACCTCTATCTCTTTATGAAAGAGAAACAATAAAAAGAAACAAAAAATATAAGTAACTTGCAATATTTAGACACCATCAACTTCTAAAACTGTTGAACTAGTCAGTTATGTGAGGTAACTGTTTGGTCACGAGTGGCAGAGCGGCAAATATCGTTAACTACAGTATGTTATTATCATTACTCAACGGATAATATTTTCTTAATTACCACGTTTTCTTCTCCAACAGTTCATTGATAGTTTTATTTAATTATATATATCTTGAGCTTCCATTTATTAGATAAGATGAATTACTCTATAGCTCACAGGCCCACACATCGGTTGACTCGCGGTGGAGGGCAGTGAAAGTTACTTGACACATTCCCAGTTCCGTTTCCCAACCTCATAAAACAATATTAGCCTCAACCACAGTACCGCAGAAGTCTCCCAACACAATGACTTTATTCATATTTAAGTGATGAATTTCCTTCTTGGTCACTTCTTGCCGTGACCAACTTTGTACTGCAAATATTACATAACCGATGAGTCATAAGTGTGGTGGCAAGACTCGAGTTAACTAATGTATTTAGACAAGATCAAATTTATTGCAGAATGTAAACAAAAGATAAGTATTGATTTATTGATGATGGTTGTACTTAAATATCAATAGGATTATATAGTCTCAACTGTTATGGTACTGGTGATATATTTTCCTTCTCTTAACGCTATAACTTTCACTTATGAGAGATTCTAATTATAACCACTCTTAGGGGAGACTCGAGATGCGTACGGCGCATTTCCTGATGGTATAAGATGAAAAGTGACAGGATGTTTCTCTCAAGCTGGCTGGCAACAACCTGCTAGACGTGCACCAAAAAGTCGGCTTCTCGCTCTCTACCCTCTGAGACATTGGCTACAAAAACTCTCGCAAATTGTTCCAGGGAGACAGACAGACAAGCGACAGTTGATTCTTCTCCCCAGCGCATCTTCCTGGGTATAATTTCAACAAGTAAAATCAACATCTGTTTTAATATTCACCTTGGTCGGGTTTTTTATCAGATGTTCCCTCCTTACCCTATTGTGACCCCCTTCCCCCGACGAGACGACTAATATGTAAACACGATGGTAAATCTATTTATAGCGCGTGTCTTCACTTTCACTCTCCCGCCGACCACTAGACTGTTGCCAGACACTCCCCCCCCCCCTCCCCCCGGACACATCCCCCTTTCTACCATTACCATCGATAGCACTTGACCCTAGTACTCTCTGCCTCTTACTCTGAGTACCAGTTATGAGGCGCAACGATGAAGAGTCTCTCTCCTCACATCAAAACAAAGACGAAGTAAATTAACTGTTAGCGTGTTCCTCGCCCATACATACGTCCACTGAGATTAGGTTAGGTTACCATGATGTTATGATTATGTATATAATTTGCCAGTGTACTGTGCTCATTTGTAATCCAAAAATTAGTTATGTAGAGAGTAGACTAATGAGTGCTGTTTAGTTCTGTAAAATTGAAGGTTCATCTGAAGACTTTACCCTCTTTTATGACCTCATCACTCTTATACTAACTTAATCTAACCGTGGGTCAGTGTTGTGGGGTAGTGGAACCGTGGGTCAGTGTTGTGGTGTAGTGGAACCGTGGGTCAGTGTTGTGGTGTAGTGGAACCGTGGGTCAGTGTTGTGGTGTAGTGGAACCGTGGGTCAGTGTAGTGGAACCGTGGGTCAGTGTTGTGGTGTAGTGGAACCGTGGGTCAGTGTTGTGGTGTAGTGGAACCGTGGGTCAGTGTTGTTGTGTTTCAGAACCTCCATCTCACCCTCTTCCTTCCCCCATGTCTCCTCTTCCCCTACCTCGTTCCCCTTGCCCCTCGACTCTCCCTTCTCCTCGCCCCCACCAGGCCAACAGGTGATCGGGGACTGGACAGTAAACGTGAAGTGGAAGATAACGTTGTGTGTTATCAGCTAAAACAAACTTGAAATTAAGCATAATTAACATGACCACGTGGATAGGGAGGGGGGGGGGGGTATATAAAAGGTATGAGACAGGGTGTACTTCGAAGAATATATGTGTCCAGGTAACAGGTAACTCAAATTCGTTAATAAAATCACCCGAGATTTTGACATGAAATCCAAAAAGGTTCTTGTATTGGCTTTGATTCAATGTGGTTTCGACTGTTTGTTCATAGTGGTACAGTACAGTGCAGTACAGTGGGTGAAGGGTGGGCGGGAGGCTTCGTAAACACCACAGTCATATACACCTTTAATGCTTCTCCCACGACACATGTCAGTTTTAAAACCTTACTTCCTGTTGACTACAGAGTACAACAGCCAACACTTGGGTCTGTATAACATCATCAGTGGTGGTGATCCACAACACCGCAAGTGTCGTGTGGAGGTGATGACGTCATTATTAACACAAATGGCAACATCTTCAGGGGTGAGTACAGACTAGAGAGAGTAATACAAATCAAGGTGTATATATACAGAGGAGGGTGAGACCAGGTCCACAATGGTCAGGTATTAGGTAATGGCCCTACTAATCTTTAAATAGCACACAACGGTTGGTGGTCAGGTCAGATGGTCAAGTGACCCGGCCTTCTCACCTGATCACAAATCTTCTTAATTACAAAATTGTCCAGCTTGTACATGCCGTTACTCAAATTCATGTTAAATGCTTCGGTATGTTTAATAAGACTAGATTCTATGTTTAATAAGACTAGATTATGCTCAAAAATTTGGTATGGCAATGGGTAATCCACTCTCACCTGTATTAAGCAACCTATATATGGAATTCTTTGAAAAGAAACTATTAAGTAATATTTTACCACCCTCAGCAGTCTGGTTTAGATAACATAAGAACATAAGAACATAAGAATGGAGGAAACTGCAGCGGGCCTATTGGCCCATACTGGGCAGTCCCGTTTACACCCAATCCCTATTGCTCATATGAGCATCCAACCTATGTTTGAAGCAATTCAGCGTATTCGAGTTAATGATGATATTTGGTAACTTGTTCCATTCATCCACTACTCTGTTTCCAAACCAGTGTTTACCTATTTCACGCCTAAATCTAAATTTGTCTAATTTGAAACCATTGTTACGAGTTCGCTCTGGCCATGTAATGAGGACCTAAAAGCTTTCCTGCCACAACTTAACAACTTAGCCCCCTCAATCAAATTCACTGTGGAATTAGAGCAAGACTGTAAATTGCCATTCCTAGACTGTCTGATACACAGAATAGGTAACACTTTTAAGTTCAGTATTTATAGAAAACCAACTAATGTGTGTTCATACATTCATTATTATTCTGCCCACCATAATAAAGTCAAACAGTCAGTATTTTCAACAATGTTTTTACGTGCCTTGAGAATTTGCAGTCCGGAATTCATCGATGAGGAATACAAATATATATATAATATTGGCTCAAACCTTAAATACCCTAGATCTTTCATAGACAAATGCTTAAACATTACTAAGAAAACTTTTTATAGAACTGATCCCAAGCCCACCCATGACCATAAGAATATCTTAATATTACCATTTCACAAAAATTTCTCACACATTCCTGCACAGCTAAAAACCTGGAACGTCAATGTGGCATTTAAAAACTCATGCACTGTTAAACAAATGTTAATCAAGAACTCCCCCAACAACACAATTGGTTGCATTTATAAAGTTCCTTGCAAGGAATGTAATATGTTTTACTTAGGCCAGACAGGTAAAGATCTTGCAACTAGAATTAAACAACACAAATACAGTGTTAGGACAGGCCAGGAATCCAATGCTCTGTTTGTTCATTTGAGGGATAACAAGCATTGCATTGACTGGGATAATGCCTCCTCAATATTACCATGTAATTCAATTGATAGTAGGAACATCATAGAATCTAGTCTTATTAAACATACCGAAGCATTCAACATGAATTTGAGTAACGGCATGTACAAGCTGGACAATGTTGTAATTAAGAAGATTTGTGATCAGGTGAGAAGGCCGGGTCACTTGACCATCTGACCTGACCACCAACCGTTGTGTGCTATTTAAAGATTAGTAGGGCCATTACCTAATACCTGACCATTGTGGACCTGGTCTCACCCTCCTCTGTATATATACACCTTGATTTGTATTACTCTCTCTAGTCTGTACTCACCCCTGAAGATGTGAATTACACGAAAGCGCTTGGGAACTTCGTGTTTTCTTCTTTCCTTGTGGTTATCAGCATATACCTGGATGACGCGCACCTACAGTGATTTACTTGCATATATATATATATATATATATATATATATATATATATATATATATATATATATATATATATATATATATATATATATATATATATATATATATATATATGGCATGGTAACTGTAAGAGGCGCAGTGCCTGACACACTATGCACCTCGAAGTAACAATGTTTACTTGGAATTACTTAATCACAAATTACTTTTGAAATACAAAATTTTCTAGTAAGAAACACATCTCAAACGAGCAGATCAAGAACTGTCAATTATATGCCATCTTAAAATAACCTAAGTTGTGGTTATCATAAAAAATCGTTGATCTTCTTGTTACTATCACCTATAAATTTCTAAATTCTCATTTCGTATTTCCAGGCAGGAAACAACTTTTACTTCATTATTTCAGAGAAATATTGTCGTCACTGACGACGCTTAACGAACTTCTTTAGAAATTTAGTTATAACGGGAGCTCCTTCACCCACCTTTGGCTTCTCACAATCCCCACCGAAGTAAGCGTGAACTTTGGCTGGCACGAAACGCTGACGCTCATCTATCATCAGGCACATTCCCTCGAAGACCTCCGTCATGTGTAACAGTGTGTCTTCCTCTCTCCACTGTCTTCCTTCCTTTCGTTTCCTTTCCAATAGCTTCATGAACGAATTTTTGAAGCAGAATCCTGCAGGAATTGGGATTGTCCAAAAGCGGGAGTCCCACCATGAAAATTGATTCTTCACTTCTCTGGGCATCCAGGGTTCAGCCTTCATGTAGGAGAGAAGAGACTTGCCAGCGAGGAACACCTGGCGCTCCTGAGGGTCCAGCTGCTTCACCACCTCCACCTCAGTGGCGGCGAAGCTTCCCCGCCATTTTTCATCCCCAGTGTTGCTGAGGTGGATGACCTGCGAGTCGCCGGGTGTGAGGAAGGGTCTGACTATCTCTTCAGGCCAAGCTGCAGGCAACACTGGCACTAAGTCTATGTCGATCAACAGCAAAGGATACTCACTTCCCTGCCAAGCCAGTGACAGTGCCACTCCCACCTGCGTCCTGATCACCCCAGGTGGCACGAGGCTTAGTCTGTCGTCCTGCAATACGTATCTGCCGAGGCTCTCCCTGACTCGCTCATACAGGTTACTCATCAACTTGTTACCTTCAAGACCTGGGTTTTTTGTCTTAATCTCAACATTTAACTTGTGGCCGCTGAGCGCGATGTCTTTTTGTGGCTGTTCTTCAACTGTAACTGTCACGTTAGAGAACTTCCTGATAATTAGATTAAAATCGAACTCATCAGGGCAGTAGAGTCTTGTGGAGTCTGCAGTACTTCCCAGCAGTGTGAGTCTACCTGTGTACGTCGTGTCAATGTCTGCTACTATGTCTGTAATGGCCTTCAGCTCTTTTGTTATGGCCTCTTTGACCTCTTGGGCCTCACCTTTAGTGTAATCAACCGTGATCTTCCGTACATCTTTCAACAAGTTCTCCAGGTCTTTACGTTTGAGAAGGTTCATCAGAGCACTTGTCTGGTCGTTCTCTATCTGTGCGTCCACAGTTTGGTCTGGTCCACATTTGTGATACATCTCCAGGTACCTTGTGAAGTTATTTCTCACTTGAGTTGGGGTCGTCCCGGCCCTACAGCGTGGTGCTTGCTCCTTTAAGAACTCTGCAAAGAGATCAAAGGTATTTTGGTGGAAAAACATTGCTGCCAGATGAGGCGGCGTTTGACCATAACGGTCTTGGCGTAACGACTCGGCGCCAAGACTTTGAAGAAGGAGGACGCTGCCAGACTTGCCATGAGAGGCAGCCTGGTGGATGCCGGTGGTGCCACTTGTTGAATCCACTTGTGTGTCAACTTGCACTCCTCCCTCCTTCACCAGAAGGTAGATCAACTGTAACATCCCACCTTGAGTCGCCACCAAGAGAGAATGAGCTTTGTCGAATGACTTTTGACATTCGGGTGTGTCTGTGTTCCTCCTGGTCCCAGTTATCTTGTTCCAGTAGGATTTGAAGAGAGTTTTTTGAACACGGAGAAGCTCCTCTACCTGCTGCTGGTCCACCTTGTCTTTCATCTTCAGCTGCAGCTCCTCCAGCTGGTTCCTCTCCTTGTGGTATATATTCTGTCGGTAAAAATAATAGTTAAATAAGTATTAGAGGAGAAAGTTGTTAAAACTCATGGTAGGAGTTCGGTATTAGCAAGAATTATGATTAAATCAATAAAAATCACTAAACATCATCAGATGGGATGTAAACTGCCCACGAACTCTTAGCATGGCAATGCTTGGTTAATTTTGGAGCCCTTTGCACCAAAAGTTGATGATGTGGACCTTGTCACATGTTGATCGAACCATCCAAGTTGGTACAAATCCACTAACTAACCCGTGCCTCCTCCATTTTAGGGTCACACCATTTATCAGTTTATCAGCCGTTCAGGTGGTTGGTCTATCCAGTGTTAGTACAGTAGGAAACTGGATTCGGGGAAACCTGTAAGGATCACACTGGATAACACCCATCTCACGTGTCTGGACCAAGCAGGACTCCAACTATAGTATGTAATATTTGCTATGAGTTTTAAAAGGGTGATGAGATAAAGACACAGATACACACTTGTTCTAGCTGCTGACGGAGATGTGAGGACATCATGGTTGTGGGCAATCGACCTCTTGAGTCAGCTACGTACAGACAGCCTCCCATGTTCTTAAGCATGTGTCTCGTCAGGCTCCAGTGCCCAGCCTCCAGGGCAGCATGTAGAGGACTCACACCGGACTTGCTACACAGGGAGGACTGACCACCAGCCTGATGGATGAAGCTGCAAGTCAAAGTACACTTGTGACGGGCGGCCTGGACCATGAGCTCTGTCAGGTGGACCACTGTCCCGCCACTGGGCCAGCTGGCTCGCCAAGGAGTGTCACTCTTTATGATAGAGATGATGTGATTAACACCTGCCCTGAGTTGTGGCTGGCGTGCCATTATGTCACGTTCAGCCTCCAGTGTGTGAAGGAAGGCCTGGAATATTTCAAATGTTAAAGTTTATTGTAACACCCGTTGTATGACGCATACTACATGATCATTTATACAGTAGTGTGAGGACCATCCTGCCAGTGTTAGTACAGGGGGACGCTGGTACACCCGGAGAAAACCTGCCATGTTCGGTGCTCTCGTGTCTTCCTGTACTAGTGCTGGGGGCTGGGGCCGTGGGGAATGGCCCTCACCTATAATTTATTTACGTAATAACAAGTAAGCCGTCGCCTCCGCCTCGTTGGTAATTAAAATTTAAATCATCAATGGACTGTGTTTGGTTTTATCAAGAGCGAAACACTGAGTAATTGTACCCTCAATTAATGGTTCGTTGCTACAAATATAAGCATAACAATTTTATGTGCATCATGTAGAGTTATCAGTCTCCCTTCACCTGGCGTAAGGAACAATGTTTCTATGAAGGTAGAATATCTTCATAGAAATGTTGCACTTGAAGTCAGGCTGAGGGAGACTCATAACTCTACATGATGCACATAAAATTATTCTGCATATTTCCCTAAAGTAAATGTTCTCAAGATAAGTCTGTCATAAGGATTACTATACTATGCATGTGTATTATGGGTGGTCGTATAGCAGTATAACTTATGAGTAAATGTAAGTTAGGTTGTTTTAATACTGTTACGGAGGTGTTACTGGGGGGGGGGGGGCATTAATAATCTGTCACTTCCTCTGGAGTGTGATGCTGTTCTACACCAACCCAGTACAGTTCTTATTGTGACTACCTGGTGTAAGGTGTACACTTACCCTCGTGATGGTCACCTGGACGGGAGGATTAACGTCAGGTGTGAGCCAAGCCAGGGCCAACAGGTTAAGGCCCTGGCAGGTGGTGGTGAGAGGCGCCCCAACTGCCAGCAGGAGACTGACAATTTCGCGTCGGTTACTCGTTATGGCGAGAGGTAGAGGCAGGGTAGAGCAACCATCCGGGTCCTCCAGAGGGGCACGAGCGTGTAACAGGTCACCAACTCGCTTGTAGTCGTCACCGAGGCTAATAGCAGACAGCAGCTGGTTGAAGAGTTCTCTGGGTGACCCTTGAATCTGTTTTAGGGATACACTTGTGTTTTATCCCAGCAAGAACACTACACCTCTCCTCCCTGACCCACACTTCACCTCTCCTCCCTGGCCCACACTACACCTCTCCTCCCTGGCCCACACTACACTAAAGAATTATAGAATGTTAGTTCGGTAAAGATGATACATTAATACTTACGTAATGGATATAAAATGCGGCCAATTATGGATAAGAACCAGTCAATTATGATGGGTACAGTGAATACAGAAACAATCGCCCTTATTTCGTTTATATTTTATCCATACTTATTCTCTGTTTTTTTACCTTACCTAACTTAACCTAACCCAATGTAACCTAACCTACCCTAACCTAACCTAACCTAACCTAACCTAACCTAACCTAACCCAATGTAACCTAACCTACCCTAACCTAACCTAACCCAATGTAACCTAACCTACCCTAACCTAACCTAACCTAACCTAACCCAATGTAACCTAACCTAACCTAACCTAACCTAACCTAACCCAATGTAACCTAACCTACCCTAACCTAACCTAACCTAACCTAACCCAATGTAACCTAACCTAACCTATCCTACCCTAACCTAACCTATCATTATAGCTCTGGTCAGTCAGTGAACCTTTCCTGCTTCTTGTAGTCTTACTCACCTGTGGGATATTGATCATGTGGTCATGAAGGATCCCGATTACTAGGTGATGACCCGCCCGTACTGCCAGGTCAAAGGGCGTCTCACCAGCCCGGGTCACTGAGTTCGGGTAATGATTTGACCATTTAAGAAAGGCATACACCGCCCTCTCCTGGCCGCCTGCCGCCGCCCAGTGCAGGAGTGTCCGGCCAGAAGCGTCCTGCTCGTGCTCACCTAAGGCGGGGGTGTTAAGTCTCAGGAAATCGAGGGAGTCGTCTTCTTTCATATCCTGTAGCTTGAGCAAATAGGCTGTTTCACAAGTCTCCAAACAAAGCTCCTGTAGACAGTAAGTTTGATCTGTTGTATCTTAAAGTATCAGCGAGACAATGTATTTACCTAAGAGGGTCATAATACAGAGCAAAAAAGGGGGGAAAGATCACACACACACACACACACACACACACACACACACACACACACACACACACACACACACACACACACACACTGTTAAACTGGGTGATGTTGACAGTCGCGAAGTACTGACTGGCATATTCAAGTGTACTTTTAGGGTACTGCCAACAATGCTTTTGAAGAGGCATCACACACCACAAGACATATTCTCCCATTTTTGTTTATTTTCGAAGGTTATACAGTGTGATGGTGGAAACAATAGAATTCAGCTGGTGGATGAAGAAGCCCAGATGAGAGATACAAGTATTATGTCTCACACGAGGGATCATGTCAGGAGGGGGTCACGAGGGGTCACAGGAGGGTCACAAGGGGTCACAGGAGGGATCACGTGGGGGTCACAGGAGGGGGTCACAGGAGGGATCACGAGGGGTGCAGGAGGGATCACAAGGGGGTCACAGGAGGGGGTCACGAGGGGGTCACGAGGGGGTCACAGGAGGGGTGGTGGAGGGGGTCACAGGAGGGGGCTCACGAGGGGGTCACGATGGGGTCATGAGGGGTTACAGGAGGGTCACAAGGGGGTCATGATGGGGTCACAGGAGGGGTCACATGAGGGGTTCACAGGAGGGGTCACTGGAGGGGTCACGAGAGGGTCACAGGAGGGGTCACGAGGGGGTCACAGGAGGAGTACAAGTTTTATGTCCTTCAGTGTTGCAGAGACTAATGAGCAGAGAAGCACCAAGTGACCAGTGGCTCTATAACCTCTCCTTACAGAGCCTCAGAGCAGCACCTCCAGACACAAGCTGTCGGCTACAGGCCTCACGTAAGTCAAGGTACTCAAGTGCAGATACTTATTCATTCCTTGTAAACAATGTAACAAAATTTATAATGGTCAAACTGGCCGTAATTTAAGTACCAGAACAATTGAACACAAGCGTGCTGTAAAGTATGGACAGGTGAACTCTGCCACTTTCAAGCATGTACAAAGTGAAGATCAGGCAATATATTGGAGTAGTCCTTCCAGGATTTTTAAGTCCAATTGTCTTCAGTAGAAAAATTATTGAATCTTCATCTATTAATTCCACACCCAACTTTAACTCGCCATATGGTCAATGGACCCCTGACCTGATCCTGAATACTGTCAAGAAGATTTTCCCTTAATCAAATGAACATTATTGACAGTGGCCAGATGATGGTAGTGTGGTAGAGAAGGAAATACGAGTAAGATATGGAGCTTTAATCCTGACGTTTCCTCACAAGACTTTGAAAGGCCTGGGAACTTTACACCCTTGTGCACGTGATAAATCTAATCGTAAATGCTAGTACAGTACTGGTTACTACAGTGTTTAGTAAGGAAAGGGATACTTTCATACCAAACCAACTCACCACTAGCACCACCGTAGCTGTCTCAGGAGCAGGTCTGGGTCGTGTCAGTTTCTTTAGCCACGACGCTACAAGATGATGGCCTCCCAGTCTCGCCTCATCCCCAGGTGTGCGTCCTGAGATGTGCTTAGCTTCAGGGTCGAGGCCGGCCTCCACCAAGCACTGTGATGTCTCCAGACCCCCCTTCAACGCTGCCACGTGCAATGCTGTGAACTGGTCCGTATTTCGAGCATGTCGATCACAACCGCTAGCTTTCAGAAGTAACCGCACAATACCATGAAAGTTTTGTGCAGCAGCACAGTGCAGTGGTCGATTACCACAGTTATCCTGAGCGTTAACATCAGCTTTAGCACTAAGGAGCATCTTGACAGACGACTCATCGTTAGAATATGCTGCTTGGTGTAAGGCCGTCCTACCTGTAACAAAACTCAGCAAATGTTGCCTTGGTCTTACATATTAAATAACAAAATACAATTTCATGAATTAACCGCTTCACATCCAGGACGTCACCATTAGTATTTCATTTGGCTAACGCCAGACGATTTTATTCAGCAGAGAGGGGACCCGTACACAAGGGGTTCATCATTGAAGAAAATAAAATAATTATTCATATTACTCATATCATATTTATTATTAATATTATTTACATAATCACACACAGACGTCTAGAGTTGTGGCACTAACCATCATTACTCGTGGTCCCCAGGTCGGCACCAGCTGTAAGCAACCACCTCAGCACTCTGGCATTGCTCCAACTTGTCGCGGCGATCATAGGTTTCATAGGTAACTCCTTGAAACCGTTCACGGGAGCTCCCGCTGCTAAAAGGTGAGGCACCAGGTGGTCGTGACTTGACATGATCGCCTTGCTCAGTAGGCAGACATAATGTTTTAAAGCAAAATTCCATATGACCGTGTTAGGATCAGCACCAAGAGTAAAGGCGACCATCACCATCACCTCGTCACCATATCTGACTGCTTTCTTCAGAACCTGTGTGACCACGGTAAAAATTAGCATTGATTGTTCAAGGAGGTGAGAGGTAGAGAGAGAGAGAGAGAGAGAGAGAGAGAGAGAGGATGTGAAGAAAGTCAAGAGAAGACAGAGATAAGGAAGAGAGAAAGCGTTAAAACATAAACGAAGGAGCCACCAAAACCCGCCATTTTCAATATAACGTTACGTCCAAGATAATTTACAGGATCAAATATGTGTGTGTGTGTGTGTGTGTGTGTGTGTGTGTGTGTGTGTGTGTGTGTGTGTGTGTGTGTGTGTGTGTGTGTGTGTGTGTGTGATAACAATAACTAACGATTTATTGAAAAGTACAACAGCCATGAACTGAAAATATACAAATAACGTAGTGGCACATAATGTATACTGTAAAGTAATTATGATGGCCTGGGGGAGAGGGTTATATACGAGTTGGTGATGATTTTTACAATGGTTGGAATCGGGATGTTCTTGTAGCAATCAATACGTGGTTGCATGGGCTGGATGAGGTTATGGTATCGAATATTAAATCGCGGACGAGGGATCTCAGATGGTAGCAAGTAGCGGTAGTGAGGATGGTGCAGTGGCTTCATCCCACACTGACATGAAGTCATGGTGATGGTCAGAGAAAGTTGAGAGGATAAGTATTGTGAGCCTCTTGATATGTGATGTGGGAGAGGGGGGATACTCCTGCACGCCCTCTGCTGCACTTTATAGGCGTCCTTGTTGAGTCGCAATTTAGGAAGAAGACCAGGCAGGGGAAGCATAAGTGAGTTTAGGAAGTATGAATGCTGTGTAAAAATGTCATTGGATGCAGGAACTCCAACGGACTTGAAACAACATAGGGTATGGAGACGATAGCTGGAAGATTTGGCAATTGTACACAGTTTGCTATCTACGAGTATATAGTGAGGCTGAGGAGCTTGGCCTGCAGTTCTTGATGTACGGGCTCTTCGTGCGGGTGGTCGTGGAAGCTGGAGAACTAAAAATATTGATAAGTGTGTACTACAGCCGACAGGAGGCATTGGTTGAGGTGGGAGGTACTCGTCCGCTAAGTCTGTTAAGATATGGTCAAGAGTGCTCAAAAGATTGACAACTGTATACATGTAACCCTGGTGGGGCGTGCAACCGCCTGCTCTACTCACGCAGGTGTAAAAGTGACTACGATTACAAGACACACTTATGAATACGGTTACAGAAATATAATGCAATCTATTACAACAATGATCACATGGCAACTTAGGATAACAATCGTGTTTATTTCTAAAAAGATTCTGAGTCGTATTTCGATTTCTAGTAATAAGAAATTATATGACGAGAATATATCTTTTGGTTTATTGGCATTTTGTCTCATAAACTTGGTAGAGTATAGTTAACATGATAGATAGATAGATAGATATGATTTATTTGATCCTATTATGGGTTTAGTACAAGTAGAAGCTACCGAGGAAAATATCTGCAAAGAATCATAACTGACGGCTGTTGCAACACTTACAGCAGTTGCCTTACTGTTTCTGTTGCTCATTGTTGATCTGCTCTAGATGGCGTCTTGAGACAGCGACATCCTTAGGCAGGGACAACACCACAGTAAGGACGTCGGAATACAATAGTCACTTGGGTATTCACATTCTACTTGTTATCACAGAAAATCTCAAAATTCTTCAGCTTAATTATTTTTTTTCTGTAAGAGCCACAAGTGTTGCCGCCAAGCATCACTACATAACCAAGACTGAGTTACTCCATATCTCCTGCACTTATCACAACGCCCGGATGTGGGATAGATAACACGGATTACCACTGTGTCCATTTAATGTTATTTCTAACTTAAGATCGTCTTAGTGATGTGAAAGTGTAAATCGATGTAGGACTTTTAATGCTAGACACGATTGTATTTTTGAAAACTCAATTTCCACCGAGTTGGAGGTACAGCCAGAGTCACACACTCACGCCCGGATGTGGGATAGATAACACGGACTTTAAAACCACTGAGTGTCCATATTAATGGTTGCATTTCTAACTGGTAAGAGTTCGTCTTACAAGTGATGTGAAAGTGTAAATCGATGTAGGACTAGATTCTTAATGCTAGACACGATTGTATTTTTGAAAACTCTAATTTCCACCGAGTTGGAGGTACAGCCAGAGATCACAGGCCTATAACCACACAATCACTGCCACATGACAAAGCTTAGGGTGTTGTGGATGATGAGTGTAAGTCAGTAAATCAGTTCATAGTTGTCATCAGTGAATGCAGAAGGACTTTTAATTGCTGGTAGAGCCTATTCGTGTCATAGGTGACTTTAAATTTTATTTTGTTTGTGTGCTTTCTCAAGGACTGAAACTGTGCCTACAATACACCATTCACAGGGAGATACATTTCTCTATAGGCAACAGAGAGTAGCTAAGTAAATAGGGTAGGTACAGTAAGAGTCACAGGCAACTACTAAAACAAGTGTGCCGAACGATGACAAATTAACTTTTATATTGTTAGGGAGTTGTACAGGTACAGGGACGGCTCCAGCGCAGGAACAATGTAATAGTTTTTGGAGTCACCGAGAGCCAGGCGGAGGGAACTGTGAGTAAGGAAACACACGATAAGGTGCTGTTTCAAAATATTTGCACAGAGGTTCTGAAGATTCCAGCAACCCCTCAAGATGTGAGGAGGCTGGGACAAAAGCAGGGGGCTAAGCCTCGCCCCCTCAGGATCACACTAGTGAGTGAGGATGAGAAATGGCAAGTTATTCGGCAGGCAAAAAATGCTCTGCTCCTCTAAGCAGGCAGCTGCTCCTTTTCCTGCCCCAAGCACCACGTCCTAACGACCCCAGCATACCCGTCCTGCCTCAGACGCCGCCCCCTGCCTAGCAGCACCCCCAACAAACTATGCCTGCACCAGTCTACCCGCAGTTACCACTGCAGCACCACCTCGCCCACAACATTTCTGGGCACCCTCTTTTCTCCCTCAGGTACCCCCTGCTGCTGTCTTACACCCTGCTGCTGTCATGCACCCTGCTGCTGTCATGGACCCTCCTCCTGACGTGACCCTCTTCCTGACGTGGCCCCTGCTCCTGATGCGGCCCCTGCTCCTGATGCGGCCCCTGCTCCTGACGCGGACCCACACACCCCACCAGGCGCTACTGAGGACTGTGTACCTGCAGCGAGAGAAGCACCATATTCCTCGCCTACAAAACCCTCCTTCTCCCTCTGCTTCTCCTACAGATCTTGTGTATCTAGACAAAGTTGTCTCCCTTAGCGGCCGGCTCATCCACGCCCTTGCTGTTATGTCTCACATGTGGGATACAACCCTGCAGACAACAAGTCTCCTACACCGCCTGGAGGGAAGGGGGAGTATTGTAGTGGATACCTCCCCTACAACCGCCGTTTGTCGCTGACTAGCTGACCCTCTTCGAATTCCCCAGCCTGTGCCTTGTGGTCTAGGTCGGCAACCAGCGCCGCCTAACAAGGCGGAGGTCAACTATCAACCCACGCCTACCCCCGCTATATAAGACCTCACCCCGCCGTGACCTCCCTCTTTCCTCTAGCTCAGCCGCAGCAAGCAACATCCCCTTCTTCTACCTACAGCCACGAGCAAGCAACACCTCCCACTCCCACCAACGACTATGGCGCCCCATAAGCTGCGTGTTCTCCTCTGAGCACCCGCACCAACCAGCTCTCTCTACACCACGCTTGTACCCACGCTGCCTTCCCAGCACCAAGCTGCATTGTATATCCAATACAATATGTATACAGAGAGCACATTGTGAGTTTCCTTTCTCCAACCCATCCTGAGTGTGAACCAATATCTCATAACCCCACAGTGCCAAGTGACTGGAAAATGGTTAATGTGAGTCCTACCCATGCACATTAGACTGCACGCGGGTCGGGTCGTGTTGCGACTCTGTAACAAAGCATGTTCGGCATGTGGGCCTTCGTTGTTGAGTGGCAGAAATTGGACAGTGATTACATAAGAACATCAAGATCGTCTGAGTGATGTGAAAGTGTTAATCGATGTGGGATTTTTAATGTTAGATGCGATTGTATTTTTGAAAACTCAATCTCCTCCGAGTTGGAGGTACAGAGCTGTCAGGATTATGTCTAGTTGGCAATTATGTTTATTGCAATGGTAATTACTTATCTATTTACGTGATAATTTCCGATAAAACTGATGGTACAATAGAAGCAGGTACTGTAAATATAGTAGGTGTTACAAGAAATATTAATATTTAGACAATAGATATTTTTTAAGAGATGATTTAAAGGAAGGGAGTGTACTGTAGTCTTTGCTCAGATGGGTGGGGGTAAGTTGTTCCACACCTTCACACCGTGATATTTTATGGAGGTCTGGGACTGAGAGGAGTGCATGGGGGGTGGTCTTAGTAGCTCTGAGTGCCTTAAGTTGTATCTCTGATTATTCCGGAACTGGAAATAATTATTGTCAAGCAAGTGATTGATAGATTTGTAAACAAAGAGGGCATTGCAGTAGGTGTTAATATCTTCTACGTTAAACATTTTCAATACTTGCAAAGCAAATTTTTCGTTTGTTAGATCTGTTTTTTTTCAAGTAGGTCATTGTCCGTACAACTCTGTTTTGTGCAGTAACCAGAGATTGTGTTTTTGAAGAGCCAGAGGCCCCACATAGTGTGTGACAGTGTAACAGGTATTGGTAAACAAGATCATGACAGATTTCTTTCATTGCTGTGAGAGTGAGTGACTGTCGAGTGTGATACATGTTACCACACTGTTTATAGACTTTGCTGTGAATGACTTGTATGTAGTTTCTCCAGTTAAGTTTCTCATCAACAACAACTCCGAGGAATTTAGTATTTTTGTTCACGTTTGAGGACTGTATTACCAATATACAGGGGGTCCAAGTCTGGGGGTAAGTTTTTCCTTCTGTGAAAGATCGTCTAGTGGGTTTTCTCGAGGTTTAAGGTCAGTTTATTACGTATTACCCAGGTCCTGACTTTAGTCAATTCAGTGTTCATAGTTCTCATCAAGGAATGGATGTCTGAGTTGCTGACTTAGAGATTACTATCGTCTGCAAATAATTGTATGATCAGGGAGGACACTCCACCACACCCACTCCGCGCTGGCCGCCCACTACTACTACTAATAATAAAAATATTAAGTAACTGTATACAAATAACAATGGTGATAATAATGTTAATAATAATGAAACATAAAAATGTAAACATTTATATTCATATTCCCTTTGTATTTTATATTATCTGGCTTGTGATTGGTCAATATCGGCGTGGTGTTTACTGGTGGTGTCGGGAGCCAAGCGGGAAGGCTTCTCGTGTATATTTATGTCCTATCTCCTGTATATCATCATAATGTAACGGTAGACTGTTGTGTGTAAAGGTAATTTGTTGAGTTAATGTAGAACCAACGTGATATAGATGTAGTACGAAGTGTTAATGGAATAAATATACTACATATATTATGGGTTTTAGCTGCAGACAATGGAGTAACCGAGTTTATATATATATAATATATATATATATATATATATATATATATATATATATATATATATATATATATATATATATATATATTATGAATGAGAACAGCACTATTACCAGATTTCGTTCATTTACTTGAACCGAATAGAATCTGACATAACTAACCAAAGAAACCTACTAAACCTTATCTAATTTCCTAGCCGGGGGGCTCCGCCCCCAGATCTTCGCCATATTTAACAAAAAGTACATATTTTGATACATGGTACCAATGAAAGCAACTTTGTTGAAATGTCATGGTGTAATTTTACGTTTTTGTGGACGTGGGTGTACGAACGCACTGAGTGGGTTGGATGTAAACAAACAGAGCAGACAACAACATGCGTTGATAGGTAAGGTCAGGTAGTTAAGTTTAACAAATTTATTGACAAAGCTTGTAGTACAGTTTGCCTATTCTGAGTAATTCAGTCAGGTCTTGACAGGTGGTATCACTTCTCACTGTCACGCAGGACAGAGGTTCACACACAAAGAAATACATCATAGTCATTAACAACTATAAATGTATATAGGTCAGGTTCATATGGATAATGTCACTGTTCACTGCCATGCAGGACAGAGGTTCGTACACAAAGAGTTGCATCATATTCATTGACAGTACATATACATATATGTAAACACACACACACACACATATACATACATATACGTATATACATACACATATACATGTACACGTACATATACATGCACACACGCACACATACATACATATACGTCGGTCAGATTCATGTGGGTAATGTCACTTTTCACTGCCATACAGGACAGAGGTTCGTACACAAAGAATGCATCATATTCATTGACACTATATATAGGTCAGATTCATGTGGGTAATGCCACTGTTCACTGCCACGCAGGACAGAGGTTCGTACACAAAGAAGGAAGGTAGATTTGTTTGGTTGCTTAAGTCAGGTCCTATTTGGTTCTAGTAAATGTCACCTCTAAAAATACTTATTATGATGATAACATTCAGTATTTAAGGTAAATTTTAATTTAGGACATGAGTTCCTAGGGGTTGACCAATATGTTTTTCCAATGCATTATGGTGTGTTTTAAACTAATCTGACCTTCATTTTTGGCGGAAATTGTTAGTTTTTGCCCCACCCCGACCCCTCAACAATAATTGGGAAAAGCCTGGGAAATTGTACTTTTTGGGTGGGGGAGAAAACAAAAACGAGACATCTAACCTAACAAAACTTAACCTAACCTAATCTAACCCAATCCCTAGCCGGGAGCTCCTCCCCCGGACCCCCGGTAAGCCTAGCTCAAACTAACCTCAATGTTTCAGTAGTTAAAAACTTTGGGGCGCACCATGTCCAAAAGCACAATACCTTAGTTAGAAGTGGAAGGACCGTGAATACGTAAGAATTGGATAGAATGATCATCTTTCTCGTAAAATGCGGCAATAAACTTAAAATAATCTTAGGAGCACAAATGATAACCAACCTCGACCACGGCCTTTGTGAGACTGGTCAATGAAATTGCCCTGGCTTTTTTTTTTTACGGGGATTAGCCCACCCGAGCACAGGTCACTGACCCACATCAGGACCTGGGGGGCGAAAATATAATAATAATATTAATAATTAATAAAATCGATAAAAATTATAACCCCAAATAAAACTAATAATAACCATAAATAAATACACAAACGAAAAAGTAAATTAAGAGTGAGAAACGATATGCAGCATGCTGTGTTGCCAGTAGTAAGAGAAACAATTAAGACCCTGCAATTGTGTGTAAATGAGGCAGAAAGTCAGATCAGCAACCTGGGACTTGGTCACAATTTTTGTGATGCCATATGGCAGCAGGGTCTACCATTAGACAACATATTATACTTCCAATATCTTCCCAGGCGGTAGTACCTCCCTGTTTGGTAGCTGCCTACTCCCTACTTAAGGCTGCTTCCTTTGAAAAAAAAAATCAAATGTAATTGGTCCAAAAAAAATTTGCATGATGATATCGATACATCATAGGTCACAACTGGATGACGTCAGTCAATATTGCGCATGCGTGATGCGCTGATAACATCTCCTCACAGAATGAAGACTGAAAACTTTGTAAAATCAATTAAATTAAATTGTGTAGCTATTATCCATTTCCGCCATGTATATATGGGGTTCAAAATGCTCAGAATAGTGAGTTCTAAATGTTAGTAGTAGTTTATAACTTTGGGGTGCACTATGTCCTAAAGTAAAATCATACCATATTTGAAAACATTAAGAGAATCCCTAAACTTATTCTTAGCGTACAAATCATGTACTGTAGAGACTCAATTTAAGTGTCGTATGATCATTTTTTTGCCCTGCAATTCCTCATCCTTCATACCCTGTGCACTACAGGTGATTTATGATTATAGATAGAGAAAAAGGAAACACAAATATTTATTAGTTAATATCATCCAAAGGACAACTGTGGAAAATATGAACGAAATATATAAACGCATTCTGGTGCTAACTCTACTTTTCCTTTACCGTACAGTATTGAGTTTAGTAAAGATGGACTCCACATTAAGCTAGTTTGGCTGTATAGTATCCATTAGAATATCAGAATATAAATATGATAGATTAAATACCGAAGAATTGTAGTGATTTTTTGGGTGTCATCTGCCAACCAATCGGCTGTCTTGCTATAAACTGACTGTAGGCTTCAGTTGCAAGCTTTGAGTGAACAGGCTATAGTTGGATTAGGTTTACAAGTTAATTTTATAGAGTAAGTATCCAGTGTCTGGAGTGGTGAGATGTACACAGAGTAGTTGGCCAATAAGATTCAATTGGCACACAGGTTTTTAGACTTTTTGACTGTTTTACTCATCTCTCAGGTCATATGGGTGATAAAGTAAGGGATTTTTATGTCCATCTGTGATTATGAGTTTGTAAAACCAACTCTAACAATCTACAGAGGAATGTGGTGTATAGTATAAGTATATGGGTGGAAGAATAAAGATGGTTCTGCTTCAGTGATATTTGGTAGTCATTTATGATCTTATAAGCCACAGGTGAGGGAATATGTCACTCTAAGGTGACTCATTGTCTGATGATGTGAAGAGATGATTCTATAATTGGTATTGTATTTGGATTACAGATAAAGGACAGTAAGGAGAATGACCCGAATTGCAGCTTTGAATGATTGGTCGTTGGGGAGCAGCGAGGAGGAGGATATTGGACCTACACGAGAAGCCCTTGAGGCTCAGGCCACAAAGTCATATAATGAAGCTATCAGGTATCTAGCTCACGGAAACCTAGAAGATGCTCAGGAATACTTCTGTCAAGTTCTTCAAAATCCTTATATTGAAAAGGTAGATACCCTGTACACTGTGACATTATTTATACAATATTTTTGTTTTCCTTCCTTCATTATCATAAAGGGTCAAAATATACTGTTTAGAATCAGTTAACTTGTCGTAATTAGCAGGCATCATACAGGTAGTTTCACTGCAGTTTGCCACAGTTGCCTAGTACTGCACATGTAGTTAATTTCTCATCAAAAGGTAGTTATGTAAGTCTTGAAACCTGTTTTTAGGTGTCTTCTTGATATACTGAGTAACCTCCTGATGTTACATGCTTTCCTTGGACACAAGTTCACTTTATTTATTTATCCACATTACAGAAGTTTTCTGGTCCCCAAATTTTCTGTTGATAGAAACTTAACTTAATAAAGTACTGTACATTACTTCTATTATTTGAGATATTTCAAAAGTAACTCCATAAATTCACAACCCATTAAGTCTAGACCGTGTACGGTATTGATGCCAAGGTGTGTGTAAGGTTACAGACAGCTGATTGTTTTGATATGTGCTGACTGGGTCATTAAGGTCCACTGTGGCACAGACAAAGATGATTACTCTCACCTTGGAAAATGCTACTGCAATAGGAGGAGCTCGTGTATATAAATATTTGCTTGTTTCTTGTATATTGGTGACAAACTGATCAACTGTGATATGAATAATGTACTGTATTGGTAATCGCTTGAAGAAAGACAGTCAGTTGTTGAATTGATTTACAGGAATACCTAGGTATGTACTCTTCAAATTTATGTTTACCATTGTTACATAATTGATTTTCCATCCAACAGATCAGTATTAAATAATTAATATAAATTCAAATTTACTTTACTGTACATTTCAGGCATGTTGGCCAGAGGGTGTTGAGCCTGGAGGTGTTTTACCTCAGGATTTAGCACTGCGATACTCGTGCCTCAAGAACCTTGGTAACCTTGCTGTTAAACAAGGTGATAATGATCAGGCAGCCAAATACTACTTAGAGGTACAGTATGCTATAAATGATAAGAAGCATTTTATTTATCATAGTATACACCACACCTCTCCCATTCCGTCTCTGTTTAGTTGTGTGTTTCTTGGTTGTCCGGATGATATCTGAGGCACATTTTTGGCTAGGAAGGTGAAATTTTAGCACAAATTGTATACACCATTGCCTCTACCCTGTTCCATCTTAGGTTTCACACAAAGAACAGACAATCTATGTTGAATGTACAGTACCACTACTTGCTTCATTTAGGTTTAATAGTCCACTGGGGTTGTACCGTGCCTTAACAACTGCGTGTCTGTTACTGTCCACATATTTGCTGTGTTTGTTTCCATATATTCGGGTTAAAATTATAGGAAGCCAAGTATTTTTATAGTGTAAAGCATGTTTAGTGTTTCTGTTCCACTCAGGCAATACTATCATTTAATATATTTAACTGTTTCAGGCTGTACAACTTGACAATACAGAAGTGACTCTTTGGCAGCGACTTGGAGCCACAGCAATCAAACTGAAGGACTTTGAACTGGCTTTAGTTGCATTTCAGGAAGTATGTCCAGTACTGTGCTGCTTTCTTGTATCTTTTATTTCTTATTGGTGAGGTATTTTGGTGAAGGGCAGAGAATGCTTCTTTTGGGGATTTTTGTGAAAATGGGTGAAAATGGGTTTGTGCTTAGCCACTCATAAAGTTGTGACGAAATCATTATATCGCAAGAGTACTGTACTGAATTTTTCCTTCCTGTGTGGGTAACATGATACATTTTAAGCAAATTATTTCATGGAATTATCAGGCATAATATTATACAGTACAGTACAGTACTATAGTCAGTGGTCATTTAGGGGATTTGGAAGTTGCTGGGAGGAGATGGTCCCTCCTGCCTGTTGCAGAATTTTTTTTTTGTGTTATTGTTTTATTTTCTTATTTTTGTAGGTTTTTATGCTAATGTTATTTTATTATTATTTTTTTGCACTTACCTCATCAGTCAGAAGCAATTTACCTTGTTTTCTGCCTACTGTGTTGCCTCCAGTTGGGTCGGGCAGGTGATTTTCATTTCCCATGTGCATTGTGCGGTTCAGTTTATCAAGGTGTTTTATTTAAGTAAGATTTATGTTGTAGGTTTATACAGTATACATACTGTATTCCTTCTGTTGCCCAGTACGTATAGTGTAGTATGTTAGAATATTAAGTCTTTCTGAAAGTTTTTAATCTGAGAAGTCACCACTTATGATGATTTATTTTTTTTCCTCACCACTTATGATGATTTATTTTTTTTCCTCACCACTTATGATGATTTATTTTTTTCCTCACCACTTATGATGATTTATTTTTTTCCTCAGGGCCTTAATGTCAACCCCAAACACTGGCCATGCCTTGACCAGCTGTTATCTGTTCTGTTCATTCTGGAGATGTACATGGACTGCCTTGGGCTGTCCATATCTGCTCTTCACCGTGATCCAGGCTACATCAAAGCCAATGCATTCAAGGATAAGATATTTGAACTTCAGCCATCACTCACCCAAGATGTCAAGTTCTTCTATCATGACAGGTAGGATCCTGTTATCATTACAATGCAATAGTTATATGAGAACATACAGCAAGATCAAGAAAGTACTATGGACCCAAGAGTACAGGGATACCCTTGTTAATAAATGTTTAGGTTAAGGCGCATCAATTTTATGAATAATGATGATGATAAAGCACAACATCAACTGGTTATGTATTTCTAATTATTTAAGTACCATAGCTGCTGTGCTGAAAGAAAGATGAGAATGGGTGATTCATAGTTCAAAAAAAGAAAATCATGAAAAATGGGATGTACAATATATGCAGATGGGATAATGGAGGACTGATGAACTATGTTGGTGGACATACTGTACTGTATTTTCCTATGCTTAACCTTTTTAATTAATTCTTCTTTTCTTACATGTGTTATTACTTTGCAGCTCGATCCTCTTCAAAGGGGTGGACTATGATAAAGCCATAGGAGATAAGTTCATAGCAACATGTGAAGCTCTGCGTCCTCCATGTAAAGTTCTGCGACCACCATCCCCCCTTCAGCTTCAACAGCTAAGGAAGCCTATGTCAAAGCTTTCATGGGCTGACCTTGGACAGGCACTTATCCTCACATATGATCGTCTTGTTGATGCTGACGGATTGGTAAGAGAGAGAAATTTTGTTCACGGGTGGCGGCTGATTATGACAGATGCCAATTGTGTATACTGTAGCTACTTAAGGCTTTGATTGGCCACTATTGGAATGATAAAATGTCAGTGATTTTCACACATGTACTGAATTATTACTTGACTTGTTCCAGCTTATTCACATTACACCATCAACCTGCTCAGTGACTTTAACAATGGAGTTACTGTAAAGTAAATTTTCTGTTCTTTTGCATACTCATCATAGAGGCAGGTCTCAAAATCACTGTTTTCATGGATGATTTAATTCTTATGAGCATGGTTTTGAAATACCTGGTACATATCAATATTATCCTGTCCATAGGTAGGATTTGAAAGGTTGGTTTGATTGTGAAGTTTTAGAGGGTGAGGGAGGGAGGATTTTAATTCTTGAATCTCACTGTGTGTTCCACAACTAAACTTCCGAATGCTGCTTCTCATTCTGAAGTTTCTGTTGAGGGATTTAAATTCAGTTTGGAACATCAACACAGAGACCATGTATAGTCTTAGCTGAGAGAGACGTAGTTAACAAGTGATCGCTGTTCATAAACTATTTTTTTTATTGTTAGTGTACACATTAGTACCAGAAAACTCAGATCTGAAGATACTATCTCTTTTCAGAGCACCACTTCTTATTCCTATCATACTGCTAAGAATTTCCCTGTACAGCTGGACAATCTTACAAAGTAGTTCAGTCTCAAGGAGAAACAAGCAATTATATTTTAAAAACTTGCATTCCATTTCTCTACCTAGAATATAGTCACTCCTTTGTATACCTTATGACTGTACAGTAATGCTTTATTATTCCCATGTTCCCTTCTGTGTTGGTCTAAGGTGAAACACAGATTCATCTCACGCTCTTGCCTTATCCACACAATTGCTTACTTTTTTGCCGGGGGGTGGGAGGGGGGGGGATACTCTGTGTGCTGCTGGGTTGTGTGAGTGACATGGATAAACTAGATGGAGGTCTTAGTGTCTTGAAGGGAACAGCATAGTATGACACTTAAAGAGATTAAGTAATAATAATGTGTGATAGAGTCTGTTTGATCTAGGTCCTGGCCATCCTGTACTATAGCAGGCCCCCCAAAAAAAAGAAGAAGTTTATCTTGACATTTAGTAGATGTAATAATTTATTCAATGAACCATGTTATAGGTATTGTTATTTTCAGGAATTTGCCGCAAGAATTGATGTATTTGACGCATTAAAACCAAAAGAAGAGAAAAATAGTGAAAATGATATTGAAACAAAGAAAAAAGAGACACTTGAAGATACTAATGCAGAGACAGAAGCATTTCAAGAAGGAAAAAGTGATGTTAGTTTACAAAATAGAGAGGAAAAAGAAATGGATGCTAACAATAGGAAAGAGAAACATGGTACTTCCAAAAATGATGAGGAAAATGATCCAAATCACAAATGTCAAGATGGAAAGAGAGATGGTAAACCAGAAGATAAAAATGATTTAGATAAATGCCTGAATAGTGAAGAAAAATGGAATGTATGTGTACCAAAATTACAAGAGGGCTTCCAGGGAAGTCCTCTTCGCATATCAAGCCGTAGATGTACTATTGAGCTCGGGGAAAGTCAAGATTCCTTCAGGGTCGGTGAAAAGAGGAGATCAATAGATAGTGACACATTTTCTCGGCCAGATGATGACTGGAAAGGCAGTGAAGAGGATGATAACCAGCCAGTGGAAGCTATAGTCACTGGTGCTGTTAAGAATGACTTGGAACATGCAAAAAGTGATTGGATGAACTCTCACAAAGACAGCATACAGGATATGCTTAAAGATGCAGAAGCATCAGGGAAGACTAGTCCCTCTAAATCAACTGGTGTAGCAAAGGAAATTACGCCAAATGAGGACTCCTTGCAGAAAAAGGATATTAATGTAGATTGTAAAGTTGATGAGACAGTAATGAAAGATGTGGTAACCAGTAAGGGGAAGAATTCTGAGACACAAGAATGTACAGGAGAGTTAGATTCATACAAAAAGATTCTCAATGTAAGTGTAGAGTCTGAAAATGATTTTCAAGGTTTTGCTTCTGGTGTAACTGATGAAGACAAATTTAAGAATTTGGTTCAAGAGAAATCTATTCTTGAGACTGTGGCAGTGAATAATAAAGAAGTAGAGAAGCAAGATGAAGGGAACAAAGTCGTTTCAAATTCTGAAGTTTTAAGTGAAATGATATCAGTGGCATTAAGTACAACTGAAAATTTTGAATTTCCCAAAAGTTTAAGTAAAGATGAGGACATTGATCACAAGGAAAGAGACATTTCTGAGGAAAATTTAAATGATATTTCTCCAATTGAAAAAGTTGTTGTCCCTAGTAATGATATAAATATAAGAAGTGTAGAAAATTATAAAGAAATTGAAAAAGAATCCAGCTTCCCACAAGACCTTGATAAGGAAAATAGAAACACCAGCTCAAAGAATCCAACAGATGATGGACTGAGTGGGGATGGTAACAAAATGGATCAGATAACAGAGGACATCATAGTGCCTGCTGACATACATGGGGAAGAGGCAGTTCTTTTGTGTGGAGGCTTTGAACTAGAAGATGAAGATGCTGAGGAAGTGGAAGAAGACAAACAAGATGAGGAGGAGGAAGAGGTGGAAGCTGAACCTGAAGAGGGGGACGAAGATGGTGGATCAGGAGAAAATGAATTGTTACAGGAAGAGGAGGAAGGCTTGGAAGAGGAAGGTGTGATGAGCTCGGAAGTGACAGAGACAGAAGCAGCTGTAAATGCGCTGAAAGGTATCATGGCTCTTCAACCAACGGAAATATTAGGACTTCCGGAGACAGACTTTGACTACGACAGCGAATACGTGGAATATTTTGACGGTGGTGTGTATGAGGAAGAGGAGGAGGAGGATATGGGTCAGGAAGATGTTATGGATGGTGAAGAAGGGATGGACCAAGAGGAAGGACTCAACCAGGGAGAAGGAATGGAGCATGAAGGTACAGATCAAGAAGAAGGGACAGAACAAGAGGAAGGTATAGAACAAGAAGGTGCAGACCAAGAAGAAGGAACAGAGCATGAAGGGATGGACCAGGAAGATGGAATGGACCAAGATGATGGGATGGACCAAGAAGGAATAGATCAAGAGGAAGGTATCGAACAAGAGGAGGAAGATACTCAGGATGAAGGATCTGAGCAAGAAGAAGCTAATGCAATGGAGGAAGATTTAGAAGAACAGGATGAAACAGAACGGGAAGGAGTAGAAGAGACTGAAGAGGATAGAGATGCTGAAGAGGAAGATGAAGAGGGCCAAGAGAATGAGAGTCAAGAAGAGAATAATGGGGAGACACAAATACTTAAAAAGAAGAAGCAAGAAGGAGGAGAATCAACAGAAGAAAACAAGAATGACTGTGAGAGTGGTACAGCTCACTTGGAGAATGACATGGGAAGCAAAAACAATGTCACAGAGAATCAGGTTGAAAAAGTAAAAGCAAATAAAACTGCAGAGGAAAAGTCAGCCAGTAATTTACAGAATGGGCAGCCAGATGCAGCAGATGAAAATGTTGTTGCAGAGGCATCTGACAAGACAGAAGAATCACAGTCACAAACGAGCGTAGGGGCCAGTAGAAAATCCAAGCGTCATAAACGAGGCTTAGAAAGAGAACTGGAACAGCTTGATTATTGGGGTAGACGACAAGAACGCGATGCTAAACGGCGCAGGCGAACAATCTCTTCCAAGTTACTAGGAACAGTTGAGGAGGCAGAGTACCTGACCTGGGGAGATCTCTTCCGGAGCTTTGTGCCAGCATCACTCGTGTGAGTATTTTACCTCTCTAACAAAATAATGTTAGTATTATATATTTTATTAATTCTTTGTTTGTGTTATTGCTACAGTATTGTGATTGTGTTTTTATTCATGCCCTAAGTTGAAGGTTCAAGAGAAATAACATGAAATGTAATGAAAATAATGTCCACCAAGATTATGAGTTTATCTTCATCTTAGAGTTCTGTTCTCTCTTTCCTAGTTTTATGTGAACTCAGTGGTAGTTGATTTGAAATATGCCATTGCAAGATGCATCTAATTTAAAACTAGTCATGCAAGTCAGGGGACCAGACCTGTGGTTTTCATCCCTGTAGATGTGGACTAACTGCAATTACCCAACCTGTGCTCAGGTATAAACTAAGATATCAGGATCAGTCCATCATTGTTGATGGTTTTGTTTGTTAAAACACTTCAGAGAATGTATGTATGTGTGTACATTTATACATGTGTGAATCTTTTTGTCTGTATGTGTACCATTTGCAGAAAAACATTTCCATTTCAGCTAGCAATGAAGTTCTTGTGCTAGTTCAGGCATTAATATAATCACTTATTTTTCCCAATAGGAATGTTAGCACTGACGATAAAACCAGAAGGAAGACACTGCAGCAAAATCCCCAACAAGATACCATCAGTAATTGTTCATCTACTCCTGCCGCTGTTAGCAACATTCAGGGCACCACAACTGACCAGCCTGGTGGTACACCTGATGGTCCATGTGACAATAAACTTGGACCTGTGAAAATTGTGTCCAGCAATACAAATAGTAACTGTAAAAATATTACCAATAATGATAGATCTGGTAATATAAATGACACAGTTGTAGTCACTAGTAACATTGACAGTCAAAATAACAATAGCAAGGAAGGGAATGCTGCTGAAGAGGAGAGGATTTCCCCGTCGGCTAAAAGTAAAGAGAAAATCAGCATTTCACCTGATAATACTGATCCAACATCCAAGAGCTTAGAAATGGACCCTGGTACAGTAAAACCTGAAGGCAGCACAACAGCAGAAGTTAGTGATGCTCAGGAAAAAATGGATGTACATGAAGTGCCTGTAAGTGAAACTCCTAAGAAATGCACAGCCAAAGATGAGTGTAAAGACAGTAATGCAGAGATCAGGAAAAAGAGAGACGAAGTCATCATTAATTCATCATCAGAGGAAGAACAGGTAGCTAAAATATTGTTTTTAGTTGACAGTCTGTCTGTGAAAATTACACATTCATAGAGTGTATATAGGAGGATTTAATATCTTCAGGCAAGTATAGTATAGCTCGTGTTGGTCTCCAATACATTATCTCTCACTGCAGTATTATTTTGCAAAATTTCCATGCATATCAGTTTCTGAGGGTTTGAAAGTGCCTATACTGTGTATTATTTTACTGGTTGTAAATTTATGTACAAGATAACCAGGCTAACTTGTCAAATTATGAAAGTGGTAAGCATTATTAATATGGTGTTTTCAATTATATTCTTTAGGTTGAAGCATTTCTTATGCGTCATGAGGAGAATGGTGGAATTCTTGACTTGAGTCAGCAGTTTTTGCGGATACTTTTGAAGAAACACGGAAAACTGTGGCCCGTCATGGCAGCAAAAATGTTCATAGAAATGTATCCTCGGGTCAGGTAAATGTCAGTGGATTGTCATCATTATTAAAGGTTTAAAAAAGTTGCAGGAGCCACATGTGAGTATGGTGAGGATACAGTCCTCCTTCTGGAGAGTGACCATGGAGGTGGTGAATGGTTTTGACAGAATGTAAGACAGAAAGAAGTTAACAGTAACTGTTAGGAAGAGTAAGGTTTGTGATTTTAGCTTTGCCTTAAAGCCAGATGGCTCTCATTACTGTTGTAGTTTTGTTTGGGCTGTCAAGATTGGATCATTGTGATGGTTTGGATGTGAGAAGGATACAAGAGTAGAGAAAAATAAAGAGGGTGTACAGGGGCATTGTAGTGGTTTAGTGGATGGAGAGAGACAGCATAAATCATAGGAGAGAAAGATTGAACAAAACATTCTGGAGAACACGGGGAATAAAGTAAAGGAAAAAAATCAGGGGTAGGGTGGCTTGGAAATAAGAGCTAGACAAGAGAGGCTGTAGGAGACCTTGCAGCCTGGTGACCTGCCATGAGGCAATCATGGCTAATCAACACGGAAAATTACCATAAAATGACCCCCTCCAAGAGGAGCTCTAGAAGAGTGAGACTCTGGAGACTAGAAAATAAGACTTTATACAGCTATGGGGTTTTAATGCAGGGAGTTATTTATTGAGTTGCTGTTTAACAACAGTGTATATGCTTTTTTGACTTGTAATATGCCTTGTAAAATATTTAATATTAATGAGTTTTCCAACAGAAATCACGTGTTTCATGGGTCAGCCTTGAGTCTGAAAGAGGACCAGATAAGGCTCTACCAGGATTCCATCCTCTCGCTTACACATTGGGAACTTGTAGTCAGCCTCCACCTATCCTCTAAATCAAGCCATACATCTGCCAGGTATCTATACATTTGTTTTCCTTCTTAAGTGTTACTCTTATGTAGGGTGGATCAAAGTAAACCAAAACCTCACAGAAAAATGGAGAATAAACAAGGGAGACGGGTGAAATACAAGTGAAAATAGTTCCAGCACAATGCAAAAATTAATAAAGATATCCTCACAAATGTACCCATATCCTCAACTTACCGGGTAAATGTACAATACAGTATGCAAATTGAATCCTTAGCGTTTACATTGATTAAAATGTTTTGCATTAGCTCACTGTGTGCATAGTTGAATCATCAGGTTTGTTCATGTTAATCCCTTCACTACTGGAACACCACTTTTGAGGTACTCTTTGGCTAATGCCAGATGATTTTATTCAGTTCAGAGGGGGACTGTACACAAGGGGTTGTACTTTGCAACCAAATGAGAGTTTACCTTGTTTACAGTAATAATAATACAGTATGTATATCATATCAGTACTCTTCAGTATTTAATAAACACTGTTTACTATTCAGTTATTGGCAACATAAAGAGAAAAGATGTACAAAACCTTTATCAATGGTATCTTAGTAAATTGAAAATTTTTTGGTTCTGAAGAAAATGGGAATCTTGCAGTTGATCTAGATTATTTGTTTTATTGTAAAGGAATGAGTCGATTTTATTTAACTGTTCGGTGATCTTTTTTTCTGTGCAGGAATAAAATCTTCACTGAGAATTGCCATCACTTGGAGGATGACTTGGTGCACCTGATGCTGATGCTGGGGCGTGGGGATGTGTGGGTGGAGGAGACGCCCCAGTTCCACACACGACTACGCTGGCTCCAGTCCCAGATAAAACTTTGTCAAGATGAACCAGAGGATGCTGTGCTGTATCTCAAACTGGTTAGTGGCTGTAGTTTATCCTGTACCAAGCCTTTCCATTGCATTTACAGATAGCTCAGATGTTTATGATATCCACAGAAGGGCATTATTACACAATACACATTTTACATACATGACGGTTACAAATTTGAATACTGTACTGTACTGTAATTATAATATCATAAAAAATAAATAACGAACTCTTTAAAAACACTTACAAACACTGCACCATGGAAGGTTCAAGTGTGTGGGGTGGATTTCAAGATAACATTTTTAAAGGGCTCACTCACTCAACCTTTTATGGCATTGCTCTATGGACAGTTGCCATGTAGATAATTAGTGATGGTTTACCACGAGAAAGGTGGTCTACAGGAATGATGTACCCAAAGCTCAAGTGGCAATCGGAATTACTAGATTTTTCTTGAATTTTTTCTCTTAAGTGATGCAATTTTTGTGTCCGTGCAAATTGGATGAGATTATAATGGACACATGGTATGTGTCATGGTGCCTGAATGTTAATACAAGTATTGGGAAATTTTAGTTACTGAGGCAACATCACCATATTTATTCCCCATGTCATATACTGCATTGTTTTTTCAGTCCAGTTATTAAGCCTGAATTTGTGAAATATGGGCACCAAGCCCTGTAAGAAACAAGAAGAGATATTGTTAAGCCTCATATTTTAAGTAACTCAGATAATCTTCTACATTTATTAATTTTTTTGTGTTATTAAAGCAAATCAAATATTTATTCTTAATTTATATTTAAGTACAGAGTATAGTATAGTCTGGATTTATGCGGGTTTTGTTTGCGCATTTGGTCATTTACGCAGTGCCTTGCCAGAATGAAATGTTTTAATTACGTGGTAAATTTCATCATTTACGCGGCGAGCGGCTGGAGAGGCCCAGACCGCCGCACCATTTTTTACTCACGCGGTCCATTCTTGACCACACGCGGGAAGCGGTGCGGTGAGTGGTGCGCATTAGGCCGCTCTTATGTTATCGCTGACGTCATTTGATGTATCGGACTGTGATTGGGCCATGCATCCTTACCACCCACTCATTCTCTCCGCCGCTAGCTGTGATTGGTCTAATGTAACATGACGTGCCCTGCCACCAGAGGGTAGAAGTCGCTGACCTAGCCGGGCCTGTCTCATTGTTCTCAGTCCGCGTATACAGTTCTCTCTTGTGCCCGCTATTCCCCTCACAATGGCTTCCGCGGGACCCCCACCACCCAAGAAAAACATTGAATTACCTAGACCAAGCCATGATAATGTGAAGGAAATCATCGAGTTGGGGGAGAAAATTAAGCTCATCCTTGACAACGACCCAGACAAGCATCTGTATGAAGTGTCTTAATAACATTCTGTCGAAAGTTATGGAGCCGTATATCCAGATCTATCTCGACAACATCAATGCTAGTCGTCAACGTAGTATTGAGGACTTCCTCGCCCGCAACCCACCACAACCACAACCAGCCCAAGTCAGTGATAGTGATATTGACAGTGAGGATATGGACTTCTAGGGGTTTGTCTGGGAGGCCCTGCAAACCTCTGCGAGTAGTGAAAGTGATTCACCGGAGGGCAACTAATCTGCCCTCTGCCTCGGAACCAGCCGCCATCCACGTGTGCCAACCCAGCTTTTCTACTAACGTAAGTGTTAAAAATTCTAATATTATTGATATTTCTCTTAATTATTAATTGTGTGTGCATACCATCATAAAATTAAGATGTTATTTTTACTACAACGTATGTATTGTGTCGGAAAAAGTGGAGTTTGGGGGTCGGCCTTGTCTCTATTTCAATTAATCTCGTATGTTCTGTTATTTCGTTTATGCGTTTCTCATTTTATGCGGACCTCCACGGGTTCAATTGACCGCATAAATGCAGACTATACTGTACTGTACTAAAATGGAATTGGCTTTTCTTTCTTATTTCACTCTGAAGAACTAAAAGATATCAGCTGCTTATTGTCACTTCATATAAAATCTTGGAGTTATCCATCCAGGGACTTCATATGTGAATCACTTATGGCAGATTTACTAGAACTGTAGATTTAGATTTAAATTACCTATCATGGCTTTCATAAACTTTAAGCTGTTCAAGCTGCTGGGTTATTGCCAGTGCATATTATACAGTAATTTAAAGACCAAAGAAAGAAAATGGACATTAACTTCAATTTGATAAAAATGTTGCTGATAGGCTTTATATGGCAAGGACTGATGTATGGGTCAGAAGTGTGGGCACTTTCAGACGACACCAGATAGAGGCTGGAGGCCTTTGAAATGTGGGTTTATAGGCGAATGCTATGAATAAGCTACACTGACAGGAAAACAAATGAAGAAGTACTAAGATTAGCAAAAACTTCAAGAGAAATACTTGAAATGTGGAGAAGAAGAAAAATTAGATGCCTTGTATAGTACAGTATTTTAGTAATAAAATTAGGGGTGAGGAAATAATAAAAAAAATGTTAATGGGAAAAGTTGAGGTTAAGGGGGAAGGCAGAGACTAGGATGGATGAATGAGATGAATGAAATTAAAAACTGGGTCCCTTGAGAGATAGAAAACCTTAGAGGATTGATAAAAACAGCCCAAGAACATTTAGAGTGGAGAACTTTGGTCACCAGCCCTCAGATATGAAGCTGGCACGCTGATGGATTGATGGTCACACTGTGGCGTCATCTAGAAATATTTATTTATTCCTGTATTCAATCTTAGACACCTCTTAGGCTTACATTAGTATATATATCTACAAAAGTGACTGTTCTCTTATTTACAGCATAAAGATGGAGCTCCTTTACTTATAGAAGTACAGTACTGTACTGGATAATTATTCTAAAGAGGGGTGACACCATTACTGCCTGTATACTGTATGTAGCACTACTGTCACTATTTTTAATGGGGATAGAGCTCCTTTACAGTACTTACAAAAGTACATAATTGTTTTAAATAGGACTGGAATCCAACCTTAATAGAATTAATGGTTTTTATTTAAGATGGTTTTCCTTAATTTAGAATTGTAATTGATTTTAATAGTTTGCTGGGTCCTTATCTGAATTAGTATCATGTTAATCACCTTGTAATATAGGTAGAACATCAAGTTGTACTTTGCAGTGTCATGTCCTCACAGTACAGGTACCAGTGGTTTTGTTCTTAGGTTAAATTTACAGGTACAGCACTGTATTAGCAGTGTTGGCAGAATGATGATGTTATTAGTCCTCACTCTCTCTCTCTCTCTCTTTCAGCTTTTATCTGACCTTGAGTGTATCACTGATGTTGGGGCGGATTATGTTGTTGATCGAGTTCGAATTGAAACTGATACAACTGTTGTATGTAATTCAGAAGTCAAACGACAACTTAACTTCCTACAGCGGTAAGGTTTTTTTTATAATACCTTGCATTAATGATCATATATTGCAATCTACTTTAAGAAATAAAACAAACTTTCAGCCGAGTATGTGAGTGACAGTATGGAAGCAAAACTTGCCATAATCTTATATACTGCACAGTATATCAGAACCTGTAACAACAGGTTGATCAATATAAATGATTTTCACCACTAAATTGGCTGCCTAATTGCCAACCTCTGTGGTCCTGGTTTGAATCCTAGCACCCAGAGGTGAAAATTGTTTACATTGATGTACTCTCTTGATAGGTCTGGGGTAACATGGATGATGCAGGACCCACAACACTGGAAAATCTTCTAAACTGGTTGGGTCTTTGTCCCAAGGATCTTGGATTTGAGGGTCTATACCTGTATTCTTATTGTACAGTGGATAGGAATTTTTCTGTGCCCAATTAGCAACCCTTGTTCAACTTTTTTATGGAAAAATATATATTGAGGAATACCATTGGTGCTTGCATTGTTTTTTTTATGATAGGGGGAATGTGTTGTTAACAGGTGTGGCTTCATGATCCTGGTTTTGTCTGGCATGATTGGTCATTATGGTATTACTGATGTGACATTGGTGCTGGCGGTGAGAACGTCAATTGTGCAGTCCCAGTATTTTTGCTTGTGTATTATATAGTTAACTTAGTAAAGTATTGCTGTAACTAGTGAGAAATTTTTTGTATATCAGAAAGAAAGAAATCTAAATGGTTGTATTGGACAGCTTTTGATATAGAGGAAATAGTTCAGAAATGGGACTCATTCTTCCCAAGACCCAGAACTTAACATAAGAATGGAGGAAACTGCAGCGGGCCTATTGGCCCATACTGGTCAGTCCCATTTACACCCAACCCCTATTGCTCATATATCCATCCAACCTATGTTTGAAGCTATCCAGCGTATTCGAGTTACTGATGATATTTGGTAACTTGTTCCATTCATCCACTACTCTATTTCCAAACCAGTGTTTACCTATTTCACGCCTAAATCTAAATTTGACAAATTTAAAACCATTGTTACGAGCTTGCTCGTGAGTCTAAGCTTATCCATGTTTCGGTGAATGCTATTATATCAATTTTTTTGGTACATATTAATTCCCTGATTTCATCCATTTTGTTTCTCATACTCCTATTGTTTGCGTAGTAGATATTTAAGTTATTCGTGTTCTGAGTCATCTCTTTGACGCGTTTAGGTGTTAACTTCCTGCCTAATTTAGTTTTGTCATCATTCCTCGCACTACTTCGTTGTAACCTTTCACTCTGTTTACCCGCTCCCACTGCAGTCACCTCCACCTCCGTGCCCATACGTTCCCTCGCAGTTTAAAGACTTCGACATCTTTTGAACTGCCCTCTCGAGAGAGCCAGCCAGGGTTGCCACCCCATCCCTAGACAGATGCACCCTATCCCTAGCAAAAAGGTCCCTTCTGCTGTAAAATTAGTCCCAGTTGTCAATGAATGGGAATGATATTGACTTGCAATATTTGTCAAGATGGCCATTGACACCAACTGCCCTTGACAACCATTCATTGCCAACTCTCCTAGGCAGGACACCACATATTATAAGGATCCCTCCCTTCAACCTAATACGTTCTATAGCTGTCTTGAACTTATCAAGAAGCTCTTCACTCCTACACCGGCCAATATCATTGCCTCTTGCACGTAGGCAGATAATGGGTTTGTTCCCATTACCAGACAAGATATTGTCCATCCTGTCAACTATATCCCCCACCCCAGCTCCTGGTAAACACACCCTCATCCTATTTTTATTTTTACCACAAAAGGCTCTATCCAGGTACCGTACCTGGGAATCGCCAACAATTAAGGTTTTCGTACCTTCCCTCTCAGCCCTGTCCCTGACTATGTTAACATCCAATTCGTCTATCAAAGGACTAAAAGAGTTTTTACACTTAGCTGTTGTCGTTTCCTTGGTGTCTTTTCTCACTTCCATTTTGGTTGTTCTTCTCACAACCTTCCATTCGCCTGAGTTTTCGTCAGACACGGGCTTTCCTTGTCTCGTTTCCTCCTTCATCCTCGCTATCACTTCCTTTTAATTTTAAGTTTTCTTTTTGTATCTTCTCTAACTCGGCCCTCAGAAGGGCACAGCCTTGTTCACAAGTAGCACTAGCCATTACCGACAACTTATCCCCGGGAGCTAAGTCTGCCTTGACCTATCCTAACCAAGCCTAACTAACCCTTAACCTAACCATATGAGTTAAGTCAAGACAATCAAATCTCCCCTGAGGAAGAAGGCTGTGTGAAATGTAATGGTTTTATTTTTCCTATCAGATCACAGATGTTGGAGCAGGTTGTTGACAACTACACAGACGGACGTTACCGATTAGTAGCTGATTTGCTTACAACTATATTCCACGAGGCTCCCCCCAAACCGCGACCAGGTGTTACATTGCCCATGAGACAGACACAGTTAGCAATTCTTGTGGACTCTCTGCACAAACTTAATGATCACACGGTAAGGGAACAGAATTTGGTTAAATAATTTTCTTATTGGAGTGTCTTATTATGTTTATCTGAGTTATTTCTGTCCTCCAATGTTTATTATTGGCTTATAATCATTGTGTACACCAATGTCATTAGAAATTTGTTTTGTAGCATTTTATTTTATTTTTTATACCTCTCCCATAGGAATGTATCTCGGCTTTTATAATGGGAACCTGTGGGAAAATATAATCTGATTTGCAAAAAAGTCAGTTAACAATTTTTTTTCAGGACATAAATTGGTGAATGCATGTGTTTCATTTTTTTTTTTTTTTTTTTCACCATTATCTTTTTCTTCTTGGCATTTACCCCATATTTATCATTTATTATCTTCGGTTCCTGTTCATTCTTCATTCTCTTGATAAAGCACAGCATCGCCAGCTTATAAACTTATTAACAGTGGCCACTTTCCACCATATAGTTCCAGATTTGCTCCTGCCTTAATCACCCATGCCTTTTTTTCCCCTCATCACTCCATCTATATATGCACAGCACTGTATATATTTTGAACAACCTTGGAGACATCTCACTTCTCTGTTTCACCCTGATTCCCACTTTAAAGCTCCCACATATTGTTTTCTCTACTATCACACAACTTTTTATTATATAAAGATTTTACTCCCACAAGTAACTTTCCTCCACTCTTTAAATCTTCTACACCTGTTACAGTCCTCATCCACCCAATCTTTTGCTGATTTTGTCTCCTTGTCATGCAGGAGGTTATTGTGTGGGGAGCCCAGTCTTTAGCAGAAGCTTTGAAACGCTACAATCGAGCCGAGGCAGAAGAAGAGAAAAATAGATGGGCAAAAACTATAATGAAAATCAGTGACACCATGAACACGACACTCGAGAACAATATCACCACTAGTAAGTATTAAATGTGCTTGATATAAAAAATAATAATATTGTCCACGTCTTATTGTGGATATGATCTAAGCATTTGTAACTAACATGTAGCTGGCCATGTTAATCTATTAGCAGGTTTAGGTGGTAGCTAGCAAGATGACCTTGTCTTCCCACTTTTATTTTTTTTTATCACACTATTTGATGTCCCTTACAATATTTAGTTATGTAATGGCATTCTGATGCACTCTCCCCATTTTTCACCAGCACAGAAATTGAACTTTGGGTCTTTTCATAATAATTTTGTGCACTAGACACCATAGGTTTAGTCAGGCACCTCTGTTTACATAATAAGGTCTTGTAATGATGGGAAGAAGGGGAGATCATACAAGACATCATTAGTCACCTTTGTTATCTTTGTTAGTCTCATTGCCACCTTGATTGATTTAACATGAATGTATAGGCTACTTTCACCTTTAAAGGAATTCTACTTTTGTTAACAGTTAAGTCTCTAATTTTTCCCTATCATTCAGACACTTCTTACATCATGCAAGGAACCCAGAGAATATATTAATGTCCTTCCATAATTCTTTGAGCTTTACTCTTGCAGTACATGATGTAGACCATGAGCGACTAATAGAGCTGGTGACCACGCTGATCCAGATTCTGGTGATACAACTGGAGAAGCCACAAAGTGCCCAGGTCTTGCCATTTGAGACTCTTACTCCATGGACTCTTTTGCATCGTCTCCTTGCTCATGAAGAACTCCTTCAGAAACAAGTCGATAAAATGAAGACACAAGACACAATAGAAAAAAGAGAATCTTCAGTGAGTGAAGGTAGGTCACTAGATGGGAAGACAACTGATAGTGAAGCTAAGAAAGAAAATGAGAGTGGATCACTGAATAAATCTGACAAGGTTTCCTCAGTATTGTCAGAAACAGGAAATGAAACACAAAGCAAGGGTAATTCAATTATTACATGTACTGGACCTCCAACAGATGAACTCGGCAAAACACATCAGAACTTGACTCAGGTTGTTGTCAGTTCTGTAACTCCTGAGACAAAAGATTGTAGCAAATATCAAGAAAAAGATACCCAAGAGGAAGAAGGCACTGCTGAGAGCAAGGGATCTGGAGTGCCCTATCCATCTACACTCTTTCTTATTACAGCTCATGATGAACTTGGCAAGTAAGTTTAACCGATATATTATCAGTATATTTTGAAAATATGCTTTTGCTAGACCGTTCACTGAGGAAGAAATGGCATTGTACTCTAAAGAATATTAAAAAGTAAATGTTTCACCAGGTAAAGGATGTGATAGTTTTAACATTTTGCTTTAATTTTCTTTTATTATTTGTTCCTAACCGTGATCTCGTGCTCAGGTATATATATTGTTTACCCTTATGGAGGTTCAACCCAAGAAGGAATATTAAGTACTGTACCAGGTAATTGAAGCTTTTGTCAGTAATTTTCTTTTTTTCAGACATTCATGGTGTTGTTATGATGATGGGGTGTTTCTGCTTTACTGTTTGGATGTGCTGCTTGGGGAGCTGCACAGAAGTCTTGAAGACCAACACCGACAGTTGTTGCACCACACGCTAGAGCAGCTGTCATTTTGTCTCTACTCACATCCATCCAAGAAATCTAAGGTTTGTAAGACACAGTATGACCAATTATTTTTAGATTTTTTTTGGTTAATATTTTTAAAGAAAATATCACAGATTAAAGAGAAGTATTAAAGTGAAGTATTTTGTGTGTGAAGTATTGTGGAGGTTAAGGGTTCATTTTGCATGCTGCTTGAGCAAGTTTAGCATATGAATGAGTTGTACAGTATTTATAGTTCTTGTTTTTGTAGCACTTAACTTGTTTTCATGCCACTTATTTGTTATTTTCTGCCATAGTCTTGTTCTTTATTTTTTACCTTTTTTTATTGAGGTTTCAGTATTCCTTGATCCATCTCACCATTTCTAAGTCATTACAGGAATTATTTGTTTTATAAAATCTATTCCTGTATTTTGATTACATTTCATTAATTAAAAATATCTGTACTGAATGAATACAATACTCGATAAACATTCTGCTGTACTGCAGAGCTGTAAAAAAAATAAATAAATAAATATTTATATATAGTATTCTAGTTAATATGATGTTTGATTACACCATTTTGTTTTAACAGCACAAACACCTGCGAGACCATGGAGTGCCTCAGATAGCCCTGTGCTGGGACCGAGCCTTGCAACTGTACCAGTACTACCGTCCCAGCCATCTTCCTGACTTCCAATCATCACAGATCCCATCTATCACTGATGATGTGGCCACACTTCATAAAAGGTCTGCTGGAGCCAGTATCTATGTTATTTATTTATTTATTTATGGGTTTGATTAAATATATGGTACATAGAGTAGGGTATAACAGCTATTTAGAATTTTTAATGAGATAAATTGTAAGTACAGTCGGCCCTTTATATACGCGGGGGTTACGTAACAGAGATAGCAGTGGATGTTAAAAATCCGCGTATATGTGCTGCCCCACCCCAAAAAAAAACCTGGCCCCCATGTCCTTATTTACCGTATATACCTGTGTGTAGTTCGAGTTTTTAAGACCAAATTATTTGGCAAAAAATTGGGGGTCGACCTCTAAAAGGGTAATAGTTTCGTTAGGTTGAAAAATATTTACCAGTAACTACCAGTAAACAATGGAAACAATGCACCAACGCACCACCAGCTGTGAGTGTCGGTACAGTTGCCAGGGCAGATCTATTGCGTCATCATAGCAAGCCCAAAGTAGCCAAATCCATGGTATGGTAGCACAGGACGATGTAAAACATAAAGTATTCATTTATTAAAGTTTATTTATGGATACTGGACATAAATTTTTGTTCATTACATTTGAAACATCAATCTTTGTTAATTAAATTTGAAACAAAAGAAAACTACGATACCGTATTTTCATTAAAATATTACATCACAAGTATATTTTGCCTTAACTGTGACTGAATGAATATACGTATTCTCAGAAATAAATATAGAAATGTAATATTTTTGCTGGAATGACGAACATATTACAGTGGAAAGTGAGATAAAATTATGACGAAAACAATGACTTTCGCTTTCTTTCGTTATTCAGAAGATTTTACCGTAATCGCTTTTCGAATGGTTTTCAGTTAAAAAACTGTTGTACTTGTACGGTATTACAATAATATTCTATCCTATCATTAGCCTTATAATCCCACAACTGAAAACCATTCGAAAAGCGATTACGGTAACATCTTTTGAACGAAAGAAAGCGAGTCATTGCTTTCGTCACTTTCCACTGTAATACGTACATCATTTCAGCAAAAATATTACATTTCCACGTTCTCAGAAATAAATGGTAGATTTTGTATAATATGGACACGAAGTAGTACCTTAAGCTGTGTATTCTTATATGACTCTATTAATTATGTATAGTAAAGTATTACAGAACATGTATTAATCCTATGTAATATTTCCATTTATTATGCACCATGTTATGCATGTGAATTACCATATTTACATTTTATGTATTCAGCTTGTGAATGCTGGCATCTGTACATGCCAGCGCGGAGTGATACAGAGAGTTGAGATCACCAGTCCTTGAGGTGTGGAAGCGCTCTGTCTTATTTGTGCCTCTGTATATCTCCCGTACAAGAATAAGAACCTATTTTCAAGATAACAAGTGTTTGTGTATACCCTCAGTAGTGTAGAACATTTTGGGGGTACCAAAGACAAACATAGAGTTTTGTTGAAACGTAATGTACAGTATTTGATATTAAAATGCAAAAATAGCTATAAAAACAATTAATACACCCGTAATGTACTGGCTGGCATCTCGTCCCTGCTCCCGCGTCCAAGGTCACCACTCCTCCCAACTCGCTCCCTCCCCCGCCTCCACCGTCACTACTGCCGACAACAAACACAAATGTTTTGTGAATAACTGCACCTCCACTTCCTATGTACAGTACTGAACTGTACTGTGCTGTGCATTTTTACAAACAATAAACATGGCAAGAAAAGCTATTAAAAAAAAAGAGATAAAAACTTCACTTTACTGTACAGTTCCTATCCTCGGCGACAGGACGGGGGTCATCGGGCTCATCGTCACTCAATTCCATAACGGGTGGTGAAGTGGGGGCGACGGTGGATTCAGCTGCTTCCTCACTGCCGCCAGTGATTGGTGTTAAATCTCTCCTTCGGTGATCAAAGAACATGGTGATGGGGAGTTGTCGTCTCTTTCATTCATTTCTTCCATGGTGTTTTTGTATGGAGCGAAAACGTCATCTATCCCTCGCATGAATTTCAGGGCACGCACTATGGAGGGGTCCATACTATAGGCCAGGTTTTTCAGTGCCTCAATATTCCTGGTCATCTCCCCCAACTTCTCCAACGTTATTTCTTGGTGCTCTTCTTCTTCCTCATCCTCTTTCCCTTTCCCTTTTGCTACCTCTTCCTCGCCTGAGTCTACTAACTCCTGTAGATCCTCCTCGGTCAGCTCAGTGTCGTGCTCTTCAATTAGCTCCCTAATCTCGTCCTCTGCCATGTCCTGGAAGCCTTCAGCAGCCACTTTCCTTGACAGTGCCAGGGTCTTTCTGAATATTTTCATTAAAATCCATCAAAATCATTTTCCTTGTCATCGTCTTAAGCACCAAACAGCTCCTCCCAGTCTTCTCCTTGAACAGGGCTAGAGGGTACGTGTTTTTCGAATCGTTTTCAATTAAAAAAATGTTACAGCACATGTATATTTTACCTAAACTGTGCCTGAATGAATATATTCTCAGAAATAAATAGTAGTTTTGCTGAAATGTGATGTACAGTGACCCCTCCGTTAACGAACTCAATCCGTTCCAGAAGGTCGTTTGTTAACCGAAAAGTTCGTTAACCGAAACCATTGTCTCAATGGGTTTTTGGGTAATTGGTTCCAGCTCACCGAAAAATTCCTAAATTCAACAAAAATGGTAGAAAAGTTCACTTACTTTGAGGTGTGTATGTAGAAGGCTCCTGGATGATGATGATGGGATTTAGAATGGGGGTGGAGGAGAAGGAAGAAGAGAAGGCATTGGGGTGGAAGAGAAGTCACCCCATGGCGCCATTTCACCCATAAAATTTTAGCTCTCTTGGTGTAATTCAAGATTATTTTCTTTAAATCAACACTGCACTGCATTATATATTGTCAATAAGTAAAATATATTTCAAAATGACCAATAATTTGCTTGGAAACACAGAAAAAAAGCATTTAGTTGAAGAGAGTCTCAAGCAAGATGTTACCTCCAGTGAAAACAGAGAGAGACTAACTCCTGTTTGCTGTGTTAAGAGGCTGGATGCCGCGCATTAAACTAGTCACTTTACCTTCAATTATGTTCAATAATTGTTAAAATGACTAAAAAATTGAATATTAAACTTTTAAAATTATTGAATAGTATAAACTTCTTGATATATACTAAAATAGTAAGGAATTTAAGCCCTAGAACCGATTAATGTATTGGCGGACTGATACTAAAGCTGGTTGCCCGGTCAGTGCAAGCGAAAACATGTTGAGGTCGGTTCGTAAGAACTTCGTTAACCGAATTTTTTTTCGTTAACCGAATTGAAGATCTTTATGGAAGGCAGTTCGTTAATCGAAATTACGTTAACCGAGGTGTTCGTTAAACGAGGGGTCACTGTATTTCAATGTAAAATAGGATAAAATACATGACGAAAAGAGGAGACTTTACCAACCTTCCGATGTTCAAGATATGTTACTCGTTTTTTTAGTAGTTTTTGGTTAAAATACTCTTATATTAGTGATATTCTATTCATACTGTGCTTGATATCATAGATTCACGGAAATGTAATATTTTTGCAACTACAATGCTGATGTCAACACAAGTGTGGTTACAGTGAGACTGACTGAGTGAGGGAGAGCTATGCGTGTGTGTGTGTGTGAGGTTGTAGGAGCGGGCGGTGTCCCGTGTTCAGTGCCGCGCGCAAGTTGAATGTACTTCAATTACTTCAATGTACAGAATATTCCTCCGGCGGGGCAATCCGTGTACCTGTATTATAAACCCGCATATGTTAAGGGCCGACTGTATAGCAATGAAGGAATAAAAGTTAACAATATGTAATGTATTATTAAACATTTACTATGCAGATGATACACCCCTCTTTCTCCTGCATGTCTATTAAAGCTCACCCTTTTTCTTTTTTTTCAGGATCATTGCTTTGCTCCCAGCAGAGGCCAGACCAGAGAACCGTATATCAGATGTGGAAGCTTATATAAATGGAGAAGAGAAAGAATGTAACTACACCCCCTTCACTCCACCCACAGATATAATTCGTGATTGTTTTTATCTTTTGGGGGATTATTACTTTAAGAATAAGGAATGGACAACTGCAATTAAATATTACAAGTTAGATGTAACCATAAATCCTGATCGATTAGACTCCTGGGCTCCACTTGGTTTAGCCATGAAAGCCATGCTTGAAACCCAACTCAACTCATGTGAAGTTATCCAAGATGAAGAGGCTTTCTTCTCTCTTGCCCAAGCAGCTGTCAGGTGCCTCAAGCAGGCATTGAAGCTAGATGAATACCACACCAATCTTTGGGTGGAGTTTGGAGGTTTAGTGTACATGGTGCACTCTCATGCTTCAAGGCTCCTAAAACAAGATCTCAATCCTGACATCAGCCTTGAAACTTTTGAAATGCTTGAAAAGCTGAAAGGGCAGATGCTAAGTCAAGCAGAGCAGTGCTTCACAAAGGCTTTGGATATACGTGATGAAGGCTGGGATGATGAAAATTTACCAGACGAGAGATGGTTATACTGTTACATGTTAGGTAAAGTTGCAGAAAAACAAAGCAAATCATCAGAGGTAATATTACAAAATTACCTTAAAGCTGGTGAACATTTACATCAGATACAGGCAAAATATCCCATCAAAATTAATTATAACAGTCCCCAGGAGTATTCAGTAGAGGCATTAGAAATGTACTATCGTCCACATGCCTATATGTTGAAATACTTACAGCAGAGAGAAGGAAAATGTGTTGAACAAGATATTCTGAAGATCTTTGATAAATATCTTGATAAATTAGCTGCAGGACCCTTTGCCTCCTGTCAGGAAAAGAAGAAAGTATGTGATGTTGGTGTCAGTGAAACGCTTGGTAATGATGGTTCCACTGTCACGGAATCACCTGAAATAGATGAATCGCCTGTTAAAAGACCTATAGATGAACAAGAAAATGCGAATGAACCGCCAGCCAAGAAAGTGGCCATAAACAAAGAATCAGATGATGTTAGTGGCATTGTGAAAGAAGTTATCAGTGGTATAGTCAATGATGCCGTTTCAGAATCCAACCACAATTTAGAAAACATGAATACGGAAAAGGAAAGTGATATGAAAAGTGGTGAAAATACTAGTGCAGAAAATAAGGAAACTGTGAAAGAAAAAACTAATTCCACACCTGCCGCATCAACTGCTGAAAAGGACAAGAGAGACAGTGATGATGAAATACAAGTAGTGGAGGAAAAAGTGATAGAGAAGAAGGATCACATTAATATTATCAGCAGGTGTATCACATCTCTAAAACTCTGCTTGTCCAGATTTCCTCAAAATTATAAGGCTCTCTATCGTTTATCATATTATTATAACACCTCCAAGTTTTATAAGGATTGCAGTCGTGCCCGAAACTACTTACTGGGGTGTGACTACTGGCAGAGGGTAGGGTACATGCCAGTTAATGGTCTTTTTAATGAGCGCAAAGTATGGATTCAGCAGCCAAAGAATTCTAACTTTTTCCATGGTGTCTGGCGAATTCCAAATGACGAAGTAGACCGTCCTGGGAGCTTTGCAGCCCACATGTATCGATGTGTGTCCCTAACCTTGGATATTCTACCACAGATGAAGGACTTCTTTCCAGTCTTACAAATAGCTCTTGCTCTCAAAAACTCTCCTGAAAAAGACAAAAAATACTTGAGGGATAATGAGCGTGAATTGCTGTCTGAACATGCCACTCAGGTTGGTTTACAGGCTATGAAAGATAAGTACAAAGTGTTTTTCAAAGGAGCCTCCCCAGTGCACGCCAATCGTCGTCTTGCTTTTCTTCTGGATGTTTATCGGTCTTATAAACAAATAAGCAAGCATCTGCCAGGTTCAGAGCCCCATCTAGCAAAGATGCTGTCTGAAGCTTATGCAGCATACAGAGGTATAAAACCTGATAGTCGTTCAAACATACTAAGGGAGGCAGATGCTTTCTGCAGTAGGAACCAACACTTTCAACATCGCATTGCACCAGTTGTACCTAGTATCCAGGGTAGTACAAATATCAGTGTTAGTGGTGATTCTCTAATGTCTCGTAGAGGACGGCCCCCTGGAACGGGACGTGGACGAGGACGAGGTTCCATGTATCCCCTTCGACAGTCCCCTGGTATAATAGCAATTCAGGAAGCATACAAAATATATGAGAATTTAATTCAGGCACAAACAATATTGAACAATAAAGAACTTGACCATGCAGCTTTATATACTCATCAAAAAGAACTCGAGTACTTCCAGTCAGAGCTGCTGAAGTACTTACGTATACCTAGTGTTTCACAGTATTTCCAGGCCTCCTTACAAGGCTTAGGGACAGCAACAGCCAAATTACCACCTCCACCTAAGAATTCCGCCACGTCTGGAGGAAACACAAGCGGTCGGCAGGGTGCCAACATTGCGACACAAATATTGTCTACAGCACATACAAATCAAGCTACTCAACCAACTCGTCCTGATGAGCCAAGATCTTCACTGTCTGCCCTCTCTGCCAGATCCCAGGTTCATGGCATCTCTATTACTTCTGTTCCAGCTTCAAAGTCCACCTTAGTAACAAGCAAACCTCTTAAACCTAGCATGTCAGTCACTGTTAGTCCGGCTAAAACTGCCTGCCCACCAGCCTTGCAGGGTCGTGGTGATATTTCTGTGGTATCTGTGTCTCGCCCTACAGCATCTAGTAGAACAACTGTAACTGCCACCACAACATCTGTATCAAAACAAACAACTTGTAAAACAGTTTCTCCCACCACCCCACTACCTAGGCCAACAGCCATCAGAGCAACAACTTCAAGTGCACCATCGTCTAAAACTCCTGCCAGTGAAGCCATCACTCTCAGTACAAACACAAGCAAGACAGCTACTTCAACCGTGAGCTCTGTACCCAAACTACCAGCTGGGACCACACTTACCCGCCCAAGTGATACATCTGTCAACAGAGGCTCAGCACCTCGTCCACAACTACAGGCTCAAGCTCGTCCTGCTAATAACCTGGTGTCTGACTCTCCAGCAAAGAGCTTAACTGGTTCCATAAGAAATGTACCAGCTGAAATATTGAGCAGCACTGGAGCCCCAATTACCCGACCAACTACTGTTCTCAGCAATACAAAATCTACCAATTCAGTACAGGCTAGTAAACCTTCTTTACCCAAAGATATGACAATAACCCCTGCACCACGAGTTAAGTCTACCCCTGCACCACGAGTTAAGGCTCATCCAAAGCCACAGTTATCTGTCAATAGGACAACACCATCATCTTCCTTTTTAGGAGCTTATCAAGCATCTCTTGGATTGATAGGAACCAAGAATTCCCCAGCAAGAGTGTCAGGATCAAACAACCCTCGCAGTATGAATACTACAACAACTGGATCTGACGGACAACATCCCTCATCATCCCAGTCCAATAAATCTGTTCGAGTTACCCACCTGAACACTTCACAGCTGATGCAATTAGCTTATGGAAAAGGAGGTACAGGAAATGTATCTGGAGTAATAAGTCAGTTAACAAAGACACCACAACCAGTACGTGGTCAGTCAAGGACACCGGCTTCTATGACAAACCAACCTCAAACATCTATGCCTCAACGTTCACAGGCATCTTCATCCCAGAGACCACAGGTTTCAGGATCCCAACGACCACAACCTTCTGGAACTCAACGACCACAGTCTTCTGTACCCCAGCGACCACAAGGCAACCCATCACAGCGATCCCATTCAAGAACCATTCCACAAACCAGACCAGGACAAGCCCAAATGAGGCCATCCACATCAAAACCAAACCAAACCAAACCTGGTCCTGGGCAAGGTGGATCATCAGATGATATAATTACTTTAGATTGAGCTAGAGAGACTTGGAGCCTGAGCAGAAGTGTGTTAATTCCGAGACTTTGTCCCCAAGTGAAGTGTATGCATTCTTTAATATCAATATCTTTCATAGGGGATACAAACGATGTTTACATGAGACAGCATTAATATACATTGATGTGATTTCTTTATCTTTTATTATAATAAAAACTCAGCTGGAGTTTCTGTGGCAGAATGTAAATTGAAATAATGAAAGCTGAGACAGCCAATGGAAGTACTGTATGTGTACAGTATTTAATAGATCTTCCTACCTAAGCATTTTGTTTTTTCTTGTAAATTTTCTTGATGATAGACTATACATTTCTGAGATTTTATATATTAACTAAATTTAGTTCTATTTAAATATGTGTATAGCTGCAGCTTCTTGGGTTGCATTTTTAAATTTCCACTTTTACATTACTTTAAAAAGTGACAAGATATGACCAAAAAATAAATGGTTTATATAAAATGGCATTCTTTTATTTAAAATACTGTAATCAAAGCAACAATGGAAATTATTTGAGGTCATAGGTATCTGAAACAGGGAAACCAGGGCATTTGGAAATTCAATATTTTTTTATCAATGCCCCATGCCCACCCACCAAAGGAGCTAAGCATGAACTACTGGTGGTAATATATTGTTACTAGGTAGTAGGCAGCTATCAAACAGGAAGGTACAACCGCCTGGGAAGATATTGGAAGCATAATGTGTTGTGTAATGGTAGACCCTGTTGCCATATGGCATCACGAAAATTGTGACCAAGTCCCAGGTTGCTGATTTTACCGACTTTCTGCCTCATTTACACACAGTTGCAAGGTCTCAATTGTTTCTCTTATTTTGACACCACAACATATATACTGGTTATTTTTCTTAATCTGTTTTATTTTTCCATTTCTGTATTTTTTATGGGTCAATTTTATTATTTGGCCCCCCCCCCCCCGGCCCCGATGTAGGTCGGTGATCTGTGCCCAGGTGAGCAATCCCCATTAAAAATAAATCGATCTTCCTGTGTAGTATTCATATCATAATCTCTCCCGTTACCATACAAAGGCATAGACACAGTACTAATATCAAGATACAGCACTTACTCAGAGTCTACTGTACTGTTAAAATATTGTCCTTGCCACTTTACAAATTTTTTATTTAGCTTTATGTACATACATTAGCTACATGGTCACTCCCTTGAACTCCTCATGTGAGGGACGAGATCCTAGTATGCAGCATTCAATTCAATTCAGTTCAATAGAAATCACCGTGTGTGTGCCTACTGTATGGTATACCTGTATGTGTTTCTGATATCCTGTTGTGACACAAGTATCCTAGAGGCTGTGGTGAAAACTATGATCCACTGCCTTTATAAGCACTGCAGCACCTGTATCTACGAAGCATTTTTTCTTCAGAGCTTGTAGAATGAAAGCCAAGTCTTGTGTCCCTATGCAAACAGTACAATGTACTATAGATGACAGTAGCACATAACTGTAATCACTATTGGATGCCATTTTTTTTAATTCTAAATGGTGGTGTTTACAATTTGTTACATAAGTTGTGAATTTCCCTGCTCCTAATTCTTTGATATAAATAATGTAATGAGAAAACACGACAGGAGGAGCCCATAGGCTTAAATAGTCCACCTGAGTCGCCCTACTTGCGGTACTGTACACTGAATGTTGGATCAGGACCAAGTCTCAAAAATTTGTATGCGACTTTTCTTTGTTAGTGATGCTAGTCTAAGAGTTAAATGACGAGGTGATGTAAGGAACAAAATACCAATATAGTTGATAAGGTAATATAAAAGAGATATAAAAAATAAACTGAATGTGATGTAGTTGAACCATATGGATAATCCTATTAACCCAGATCTATCAGGTGATTAGTACAGGTCACTTCTGTTCTTTGTGACTGCATTCCGTCTAACAGGTAGTGCTGGTCCTGTACTAATCACCTGATAGATCTGGGTTAATAGGATTATCCATATGGTTCAACTACATCACATTCAGTTTATTTTTTATATCTCTTTTATATTACCTTATCAACTATATTGGTATTTTGTTCCTTACATCACCTCGTCAGCCTTTGGCGCTAGACGATGCTTCTACCAAACGTTACGATCAATACTCCAGTTCGTTCAGTACCTTCCTTATCGCACGGCATTATCATCCCTTGGACAGCTGGCGATAAGGTTTAATTTTCCCTTTTACATCTTTGGTTTCGAAACCGTCTCATTCTCTGCTGATGGCCCCACTCCTACTGGCACGCCTCCTTCGCTAGCCAATCACACAGCTACAATTCTATGACGTCATGGGAGTGTCACGTGAGCCAGCACTAGTGAGCCGAGCCAGGCGAGCCGAGCCAGCGACGCGTCAGTTAAGTAATGGCTCTCGTGTTGGTCACATCGTTGCCTCGCACTCTCGCAGTTCGTGTTAGATATGGTGTAAAGTATCCTAAAATATGCTGGAATTTGAACAACAGACCCGTCATCGGCGTGAGCGTTCGACACAAGTCGACGCCTGCAGCCGCTTCTCTGGTCGGAGAAAACAATGGTGTGGACACTGCCTCCCATGATAACGAGAAAAAGGACCCACTTGACCTGACCTTCTGTGACCATGAATCCGCCTTTAAGAGCAAGACGACCTGGGAGGTGTTACGTGCGCTGCTAGTCTTCCAGATGTGTGGTATTCAACCTCTAGTGAAAAACAACGAGAAGGTTCGTGGCCAGCCTACTTCGGGCCGCCACGGACGACGCCAACTTTGTCATGTCACATTACTAACCTGGTGACCCCCAGAGTGCCAGTGTCCTCATCTGCGGAGCCCCGTAGCTTGACCTGACCACACCAGAAATCAGGGCAGGCCACAACCTAGTAAGATGGGATAACATTGTAGCATTTTCTTATCAGAACGATCGAGAAAAGCAAGGATGAATTTGTTTACTCTTTTATCTTGGTGACTTGTTTGTAATTTTTTCTTTCTGTGAGTAATTATTGATGAGTTATATGTTTTTGCTGTTCCTTAAACATTGCCGTCAGTACTCAAAGGTTTAAGATAAACAAATTAGTCCGTCAAGCTTTGATCACTGAATTCTAAAATCTAAGTTTCATTGTTTTGCTGGTTAAGTATTAAACAGGTAAGTTGAGGCTAATTATCATTGATTTGTCATCCCTGACACGAGTCTTTCTTAGCAGTGTAATGTGACATAAGAAGTTTGCATCGTCCGGGTTTGCTCTTATTCATCTCCATCGGACTTGTTAAACTTAGCTGATATGAATGATATGAATTATTGCCTCTGCTGGATACCAGTGTGCCAACATTGTAAATATGATAGTCTTTGTTTTTAAAGACACAAATACTGATATTGATTAATACCTCAAGGCCTCTGAGCATGATACAGTACATCCAAAGCTGTTCCCAATTTTCACTGATCACCTGGAGGTCTGTGTATAAGTTTATTTATTGCTTGAGATCAACCGTTGTCAGTAAAAGTATTCATGAGACCAGATTTGATTGATTGTTTTCGTTACTTGTTTTATTTTTTGTGTGCAAACGATAGATATGATAGTAACAATTTGATGAGACCAAACAAAGCCGGAAAGGATTCTTGAAGAGAGTCGTTCAGCAGCGTATTAAAGCGTTCCAATTTTCTTTAGAACTGCAAGTCCATTTTACTAGACCTGGTAGAAGGCAGATCATTATTTTTAAGGTTTATTTATATTAATTATCTTCTAAAAAACGCGCGTGCCATTATTTGCCCCTAGCAAAGTTGTTTAACATGTCATTAAAAACAGGTGTAGTACCAGAATCCTGGAGGATAGCGAATGTAATACTGATTTTTCAAGAAGGGGGATAGATCACTATCCTCTAACTACCGCCCAATCAGTCCAACGTCAATAGTAAGCAAATTACTAGAATCAATCATTTCAAACTATTCGAAACCTCCTGGGGAAGCACAAGTTGATAAATGATTCCCAACATTGCTTCACAAGCGGGCGTTCATGTCTAACTAATCTATTAACATTCTTTTCATCAGTTTTCGAATCGGTGGACGAGGGGCACAATTATGATGTGGTATATCTCGACTTTAGCAAAGCCTTCGACAGAGTCTTCCACGAAAGACTAATTAGAAAGGTAGAAGCACATGGCATCAAAGGTAATATCCATAAATGGATTAGGGTGTGGTTACAGGACAGGAAACAGCGAGTGAGCATAAACGGCACTAAATCCCATTGGAGCAACGTCACTTGTGGAGTTCCCCAAGGCTCAGTACTTGGACCATTATTATTTATTATATACATAAACGACATAGATATCGGCATAGACAGCAACATAAGTAAATTTGCTGATGACACTAAAATAGGACGTGTAATTAAATCTGACGAGGACTCTGCAGAACTACAGGAAGATCCAAACAAATTTTTCGAATTGTCGGAAAAATGGCAGATGAAATTCAATGTGGACAAATGTAAAGTACTCAGTATAGGAGATGTAAACAGGGAAACCAGTTACCAGATGAACAACGATGCCATTGTGGAATCCGACTGCGAGAGAGATTTAGGAGTAATGATAAGTAGGAATCTTAAGCCAAGTAAACAATGTGTATTTGCTCGTAACAAGACTAATAAAGTATTTGGGTTCATAGAAAGGTGTGTTAGTTACAAGACTAGCGAGGTCATCTTAAAATTATATCTAGCGCTTGTGAGACCTCACCTGGATTACGCAGTTCAGTTCTGGTCACCGTATTACAGAATGGATATAGAATCCTTGGAAAGAATCCAGAGGAGAATGACAAGACTAATCCCGGGCATCAGGAACCTTGAGTACAGAGACAGGTTAGAGCATCTTAATTTGCACTCCCTCGAGAGACGTAGAGTGAGGGGCGACATGATATAGGTGTATAAATGGAAGTCAGGGTTAAACAAAGGGGACATTACAAAGGTACTCAAACTATCCAACCAGGAGCGAACTCGTAACAATGGTTTCAAATTAGACAAATTTAGATTTAGGCGTGAAATAGGTAAACATTGGTTTGGAAATAGAGTAGTGGATGAGTGGAACAAGTTACCAAACATCATCATTGACTCAAATACGCTGGATAGCTTCAAATATAGGTTGGATGCTTATATGAGCAATAGGGGTTGGGTATAAACGGGACTGCCCAGTATGGGTCAATAGGCCCGCTGCAGTTTCCTCCATTCTTATGTTCTTATTACTAGTAAAGCTCTGCACGTTATCTTTCGTTTGTCCCTGTAAAAGTTGTAACCAAATAGGCTGTCATCTATGAGACAAGACTAATGATGCTTGGGACTAGAGTTCACTGTATCACCTAATAGGGTTATGAAAATTAGGAACAGATGCTAATAATTTTCAGTCTGTATATTGATAAGCAACGTAATTTTTCCTTTTAAAAAATCAGATCGATATTACATAAAAATCAGAAACTTTAGATTATCATGTGTTCCTAAAACGCATGATTTTCGTGACTAACATCAATGCACTTCGATAATTATCACGTTTGCAGGGGGGATCCAGGGCGGTCCGGACCCCCCTTTTCATCAGAAAATTTCAATACTTTTTCTTTAATGCAGTATTGAATTCAGGCATTTTTGTTTAGTAAAAAGTAATTGCTATTGAACTCAGAATATCTCCTAATATCAAGTACACATGGCTTCAAAATGGTCTCAAAATGCCCATGATATTGGTCAGATTAAAACAAATTCTGGGTAGGCTTACACCGCCCTCCCCCCGCCAAACCTGAGCGCCCTACGATGGATTATATCCTGAATCTTTGACAAGAAGTTAGAAGGATGAGCCTTATTAATTTACTATCCAAAGGTCAATGATAGGAAACTAAAGTAATAGTGTAAATAACAGCATAATTCTTTAAAACAATGCATCGGATTTTTTCCTCTAATTTTTGCAAACCAAAAACTAACCATTCTTGATAGGTAGACCAAGACTCATTCATAGGTTTTACCTTTTTTCAGCTTTCTTGTGTATAAAATTCAGTCTACGACGTTGACACACACACACACACACACACACACAGACAGACAATCAATGATTGATGTAACCCGCACGGCCATGGCATTATCCCAATTCATCTTCATTACTTTAGGATAAAGAGACCAGACTGATTTTTTTTTACTACAGCATTGGCCTCGTGGATTTTCGTGATTCAGTATACTGATAAAGGCGTAACCATTTCAGCTTCTGATCCCGAAACGGTGCGCAGTTACAGTAATCACATGTGTGGATGTCAACAAACAATAACAGTATACATACCGGCATAACCATAGCATTTGTGAATGATTTATCCACTACTAATTAAACATTTGCTTCATACCTTTAGCGAAATCCTTTACTTTTCCCACTTTTTGTCATATTCACTCTTTCTTAAGACTTGTTCAAACCTTTTTTTCTGTCAATTTTCTTTGGTTTTCTTACATGCCTTTCCTGACACATTTTTTCTTGCGGTATCCATCATATATTTCTTTCCTCTGCTACTTAATTCGGCAATATCTGTCAGCGTTCGTGATGGATGTTGCTGTTACATTACCACCGTCTTACAGTACTAATGGTCTCCACTTGTCACTACCAATGGTGTCCAGAGTAACACCAAGTGATTTTCAGTAGTGCCAGAAGTAGTACCCGTATTTTTCAGTGGTACCTGGGACAAACACCAATGGTTTCTTGTTGTATCCCGGCTCCTAGGTAATACCCATGATTTCGAATGGGACTTACTCGTATACCATTAATACCTTGTGGTACCCTTAGGAGCCAGTGGTACAGTATCTAGGATAAACCATTGGTACTAGAAATAATAAATACGATATCCTCTTTATCGCTATTTATGTGATGAATTTCGTCAGCGAGAGCAGGAAGTTCAATGTGTAGCCTACCAGCTCTCCTACTCGTTCACTCACTCTTCCATCCCCACTCACTCTCCCATCCCCACTCACTCTCCCATCCCCACTCACTCTCCCATCCCCACTCGCTCTCCCATCCCCACTCGCTCTCCCATCCCCACTCATCCTCTCACAGCAAAGATCTCTCCTCTCCTGACCTCTTTCCTCTTGTTTTCTCGTCATATTATCCTTCTCCTTCACAATTCCTTTCACAGTCCCCTCCCAGCCCCCCTCTGACCTCTTTCCTCATACCTTTCACCCCCTTCCCCATTTCTCTTAGCCTTCCTCATTTCCCATTCTCTCACCCCTCTCATGCCCTTTCTCACCCCCTCTTATATCCCCCCCACCACTCCTCTATATCTGTCAACTGTACGGGATTTTTGTATTAGTTAGACAGAACCTACTGTATGTGTACCGGATATATATAATTTGTATATTTATTTATTTTTTTATATATTTAGTCTAATTTACTGTTTTAAGAAATCCAGAGGAAGGAATTGCGTTTGTTGGGAGTAATTTTCTTTTAACTAATGACAATAAACCTTAGACGGTGTGATTTTGAGTGGCATAACAAAGCGATTGGTTAAATATCGTTTGAAGCTCCTGTGGTGGTGTGGTTTAACATGGCCAGGCTCTGTATATTGGTGTGGGGGTGGAGGGTTAGTATGACGGATGTTTGGTTTAGTGGGTGTAGTTTTTTTGTTTACGTCAAGAGGTTTATCATGTTAGGTTTTAAATGAGGGTTTGTTTTGACATGGTTTGGTGTATCGAGGAGGGGGGGGGGGCTGGGTTGGTTTAACGCGGTAGAGAGGGCAGGGTTGGTTTAACATGGTAGGGGTTTATTTATCGAGTTTGGTTTTAAAGTTGGTTAGGTTTGGTGTATTGAGGTGGGGGTGGCGGTTTGGCGTCGTGGTATAACAGAACCGAATGTGGTGTTTTTTTCTGGTTTTATTTTGACTCTAAGCTCCGTTCCGTTCTGACCGCGTGCCAGGGTTTAACGTGGAGTGAAGTGGCTTGACGTGTGGAGTGTTGCAGTGGAGGAGTAGCAGCAGCTTAATTTAACAAGTGGAGAGGGAGAGTGGATTTACAGAAGGGTGGCTTAGCTCTAGTGGAGGACACGAGTGAGGGCGTGTGTGGGTGGAGGTGGAACGAGTGGTTTTAGGGGGTCGATGAGAAAGAAGAGGGAAGGACGAGAAGAGGCAAAAGACGTGGAGTGGAGAAGGAAGGAAGGGGAGGAGGGGAGAATAATAAGGAGGGTATGAGAGGGAAGGAAGTCGGGAGGAAAGATGGAGGAGGGGTGAGAAGGGAGAAAAGGACAGAGAGAAAGAAACACAAGGAAGGGGGGGGGTTAGGTTTTAAGTTAGAAGGAAATATGTTTGATTATGCTGTATAACATTTAATGGGTTGAGTGTGGTGTGACGCTAATTTGAAACACTTAACAGTCAGCTACTTAAAATGATTTACCTAATTTCTGTTACGCAAGTGTGTGTGTGAGAGAGAGAGAGAGAGAGAGAGATTTATACTGGGTGTTCCTTAGGTGACAGACAGGGTGTTGGGTTAGGCTAGAGTGTAGTGGGTGCAGTAAAACACACATGCCAAGCGGGTGCAGGTGACGGCGTGCTGGTTGAGACAAAAATAGTATCAGCTCTTGGACACTGGCATGACGCTAGTCGAGGTATACTGTACAGGTATAGGCATTCCCGGGACGCACCAGCCACCCAGACTTAAAACTTCCTCTCCTCGTGGATGTGTGTGACGGTCAGGGTGTATTTACTTGCCTGCCATGGCCACAGTAAAATATTAGCACGGATATTTTTTCACTATTTACATTTGGTGGGTGAGGGTTAATTTGTTTGTCAGCTGATATTGTTAAGGTTTAAATTTGGAATAAGTTGAACGACACACACACACACACACACACACACACACACACACACACACATACACACACATATTCTCCCAAGGTCTCAGTAACCAATGGTCTCTTTAGGTAATGAAGGCAACGAAACCATGAGTCACACGTTAACTAGAGTCAAAACACATGTGACTGTAGTATCGGTGTGCTGCGGTGGTGAAGGGTCGATACGTGACCAAACAATATATTCTGTCCCAGACTTCAGAAGAATAAAGCTCACACTATCATCAAGTACAGTTCAGAATTATTTAGTGTGAGAGTTCACCATGAGAGACTAAAATACAGTTATATACAGGAATTATCACACAGGTTAAACATAATCACTAGAGTATTATAATTATCATAAAGATTTAATGGTTACTTAACAGGGTGATTATGGTTACTGTACTAATGTGGTTTAGTTCCTCCCATGTATGTGTTCTATACAGGTAAAGTAGGAGACTAATTGCTACACAGAAATACCGTAATTAGTATATACAGGTGGGATAAGGTCATCTTGCAGGTGTGTTAAAATGTTTTATCATTGACCTCCACTCAAATGTTGGCCTAAATTATCCATCACCACCACCACGTACCACCACCACCACGTACCATCACTACCACCATTACCCATCACCATACCCACCACCATTAATGCCCCCTTTAGACCCACGACAATCACCACCCACCATCATCACTACTCATCTCCACTCACTACCACTACTATCCCTTATCGCCTGCACCACAACACTACGAATTTTTACCCCCATCCGTTTTCACCCATTACACCATAAATACGACTCTTGCCTGTCACTACCACCACCCGCTGCGACATCACCATGGTAAAGTGTTGCTACACAGACATGAGGGGTTATATGGGGGGGCAGGATGATCATCATGGTAAAGTGTTGCTATACAGACATGAGGGTTATATGGGGGGGCGGGATACATCATCATGGTAAAGTGTTGCTACACAGACATGAGGGGTTATATGGGGGGCGGGATGGGGGGTACATCATCATAAAGTGTTCGCTATACAGACATGAGGGGTTATATGGGGGGCGGGATGGGGGGGCATCACCATGGTAAAGTGTTGCTACACAGACATGAGGGGTTATATGGGGGGCGGGATGGGGTACATATCATGGTAAAGTGTTGCTACACAGACATGAGGGGTTATATGGGGGGCGGGATGGGGGTACATCACCATGGTAAAGTGTTGCTACACAGACATGAGGGGTTATATGGGGGGCGGGATGGGGGGTACATCATCATGGTAAAGTGTTGCTACACAGACATGAGGGGTTATATGGGGGGCGGATGGGGGTACATCACCGTGGTAAAGTGTTGCTACACAGACATGAGGGTTATATGGGGGGCGGGATGGGGGGCATCATCATGGTAAGTGTTACACAGACATGAGGGGTTATATGGGGCGGGATGGTACATGGTAAAGTGTTGCTACACAGACATGAGGGGTTATATGGGGGGGCGGGATGGGGGTACATCATCATGGTAAAGTGTTGCTACACAGACATGAGGGGTTATATGGGGGCAGGATGGGGTACATCATCATGGTAAAGTTACACAGACATGAGGGTTATAGGGGGCAGGATGGGGCATCATCATGGTAAAAGACATGAGGGGTTATATGGGGGGGGGGATGGGGGCATCATCATGGTAAAGTGTTGCTACACAGACATGAGGGGTTATATGGGGGGGGATGGGGTACATCATCATGGTAAAGTGTTACACAGACATGAGGGGTTATATGGGGGGGCAGGATGGGGGTACATCATCATGGTAAAGTGTTGCTACACAGACATGAGGGGTTATAGGGGGGGATGGGGTTCATCATGGTGTGCTACACAGACATGAGGGTTATATGGGGGGGGGATGGGGTACATCATCATGGTAAAGTGTTGCTACACAGACATGAGGGGTTATATGGGGCGGGATGGGGGTACATCATCATGGTAAAGTGTTGCTACACAGACATGAGGGGTTATATGGGGGGGGATCATCATCATGGTAAAGTGTCGCTATACAGACATGAGGGGTTATATGGGGGGCGAGATGGGGTACATCACCATGGCAAAGTGTCGCTACACAGACATGAGGGGTTATATGGGGGGGCGGGATGGGGGGGTTGTGGAGACGTCTGTTGTTGACTTTGTGTTCCCCAACAGATTCTGAAGCTTGGTCAGAAGGTGTTTGGCAAGCGGCTGTTCGCCGCCCTCATGAAGGGCACCTTCTACGGTCACTTCGTCGCTGGTGAGGACCAGATCAAGATCCAGCCCACCCTGGAGAGACTCCGCTCCTTCGGCGTCAAGTCCATCCTCGACTACTCCGTGGAGGAGGACATCAGTGCCGAGACTGCCGAGGCCCGCGAGATGGAGTGAGTACCACACACACACACACACACACACACTAGAGCCCCCTCTGTCTTAGGCTCAGACACACGTGTTGTCCTTGAGGTGAACCTGGTGTTGTTGGTCCACGTGTGCCACAGCTCCAGAGCCACCACATGTGCCACACCTCCAGGGCCACCAACCACTGCCACCTCATCCCTGTGTTGTTTCTCACTACTTGGCAGCCAGCCTTCACTCCTCCCACTGTTATCTTGTATATCTTACAGGTGTGTCTCCTGCTCCACCACATGGTCTCAGAGGCACGTGGTCTTGCTTGCCTCACGCAGTATTATTTTCCTTCCCCTCAGTTTAGGCTGAATATGTCCAGACTTTATTAATGCTGACGATACTGTAGGTTAAAATGGTTTAACTCGCTGTGGATGTTCACTGTAAATACTGTTTCTATTTTAAGGTTCTTATTAAGGTGTGTTTCAGGTGTGTCACATAACTATTGTATGACGGTGAAAGGAAAGTTAATGATTTCTTTTATTTTTAGAAAAAAAAACAAATGCATTGTGCTGTTGCGTGCCGGGAGTTAAACTTTGTGGGGAATCGGTGTTTGTCAATGTGTCTCGTCTGGCACTCGCGCCTCGATTATACGATTTGTTTTGGATTAGAGCCAGCGTGTGGTGTGGTGTCATCTGGTATGGTTGTTTAGTCTATGTCACACGACTTGGCAGGTTCATCTGAGAGAAATACCCAGCGTGTGTTGTGTCATGTCGAACTCTCTAGCTCAGTCATGAGGCAATATCTCCTGACATATTTTCCCCGTACCCTGGCCACCATTGATGCTTCTACCAAAAACATTAAGTTCAGTTTATAGATGTTATTTGTCTTCCGCCGTGATGCAGTAAACGCTTATGGGGAGGAGCTGATCTGACCTTGTGGTTTTGGTCTTCAACACTTAAGCTTTTGTTATTACGAGGTAAACGTCTGTTGTGTTTACACCTGAGTTAGGGCACGTATGGTCATAACTACTGTATGTGTGTACCTGAGACTGTCTATGTGTACCTGTCAGTAACTTGTGTGTGTGTGTACCTTTATGGGCGGTAGTTATGGGGAAATTTGTTTATTTTCCTCTTCACTATTCTGCTGTTTTATTGACAAGAAAAACCACTATTGTATGTACTGGTATATATTTGTTTTGGATTAGAGCCAGCGTGTGGTCCCATCTTGGCAGGTTAAATACCCAGCGTGTGTTGTTCGAACTCTCTAGCTCAGTCATGAGGCAATATCTCCTGACATATTTTCCCCGTACCCTGGCCACCATTGATGCTCTATGTTCAGTTTAAGATGTTATTTGTCTAAAGAATTTTGTAAGAGTTCCTAGGTTGACCACCGACACTAGTCATGGTGGTGGCAAACAAACGCCAATGTATACCTATATTTGCAGTAACTTGTGTGTGTGTATACCTGTTGTGTGAATTTGTTGTACGAAAAACCACTATTGTATGTGGTATATATTCACAACCACGTGTATGGTGTTTTAAGGTGACCGATAGCCAGGCTGCCGCCATTGATTCTTAACGTGTATAACTGATCTGCTTTATGCGATCATAGTCTTTGTTGTTATGCACCAACTCCTCGGACACCAACCATGAGTGGCTGAAGATGCCCCTCCACTAACTTTGTTTTCCTCAGAATTTTGAAATTTCCTCATAAGTAAACATCATTACATTTTCCACACTTCAGTTCAATTTATATATGAGCTATTGTTGACCACCAAGGACACTAGTCACGGGTGTGTGTGTCACGTTCCTTTACTTTTGGCAAACAATGGACGCCAATGTATACCTATATTTGCATCTTGTGTGTTTGTAATATACGTGTCTCGTGTGCTTTACAAAGAGAATGAACCAATGGGTGCCAGAGGGTGCCAAGTATGAGAGTCTGATGTCCAGGCGAGGTTCCAAGTGGGGCACTACCTCTCTCATGACGTAAACCACACAAGCCCCCCCCATCCCAGGAACACGGCACACCTATACGCTTACCCACGTACACACATCACCTTGTACTGGGGGATCAAGGTACACACACACACACACACACATTCATTCATGTGCACGTAGATCTAGATACACACCTATCCACATATGTATGGAACTTTAGGTACACACACACACACTCTTAGGTCCATGTACTGTACACATACAGTATATATTTAAGTCCACAATTGTATGAGTTCATATACACATAGGTGGAGGTACAGGTATGCAGCGGTTATGTATACATAGATCAGAGTACACAAGAGTCCACCTACTCCTATTTATAGTACTCAAGGATTCATTGGTAAACTTATCGAATTTTAGAAGGAAAATGTTTACAGTATTAATTAATTACCAGATACGTATTATTATTATCCAAATGAAGGTACACACACGGTTAGATATCCCTAGAGTTGTGTGCAAGAGGGCGCCCCTAGTGCTCTTCTTTACAGTACGAGTCCTGTCTAGACCCTGGCAGGCGAGGAAGAAGACGCTGAAGGTGTGGTGGTGGGGAGTATGACTTGGGGTGTTTACGTGCAGTGGTGAACGGTGGTTGGGCGGACGAGCCACCACCAGTCAAAGTGTGTGTTTATTATTTTTCTAGTTAATAATAAGATGTTTGTAAGAAGAGGTGAATTTAAAGGCCACCAGATGTGTGATAGTCAACGATCATTAACAGCGCTGCCAAATGTTATTATAGTTAGAAGGACAAGTTGCCACGTCCAACACAAGATGCCAAGTGTTGTTGAAATGTTAGGACGAAGGTTATTATCGTGTTTACATAGTGACGGAGGTCGCTGTTGTCTCCTGGTTATGAAGAGTCTGCGTTCACAGTTTGGAGATAGATACATCATCGTACTTATTGTAAGTTCTCATTCTTGTCTTCAAAACATGGGTAAATTTTGTGGTCGTGGGAAACGTGTAAGGGGGGAAGGGGTGTGGGTGTACAGTATAGGTGTGTTATGAGTCGTGTGTGTACAGTAACTGGGTCAGGGACGGTGGTTATGTGTGTGGACTAAGTATAGGATAAGGCTACACACACACCTGCTGGGATTACGTCATTCAACACCTGTTCAGTTTTTAAGAGGGAATGAATCTCCGAATTTACTTACTCTCGTCTGGTTAATGTTGTGTTGTTATTTATCTCGTGTGGGAGTCGATGCTGGGTCATTTTAGGAGCGAACGAGCGAACTTTTGACTGTACAGTACATGCTTAACCAGTCGAAAATGCGCACCGCGAGAGAACAGAGGCCGACCTAATCTAACCCAGTCCAACCATGACCTAATCGAACACAACCCATGTGTAGTTAAAGAATATGTCACTTGGCTGGCAAACAAACTAACACGTGTTGAAGAGGATGAGTGAGCCACTTAAATTTTGTGTTATGTGCTCAGGAGAGACCGACAAACATTAAGGTACACGCGAAAGTTGGTAACAGCGTCACCCAACTTCGTCATGCACACTCCTCACCATTCTTGTAATACCGACTGTAAGGGGGCGGTATAGTACGGTATATTCAGCCAGCACCTCCTACAAAGGAACCCACCCACGTAAATGCCAGAGAGTTTAAGTCAGGTGTTTTAACTCATGTGGGTGGTGGTGAAGTTTCCCTCTCGGCATTATTAGTAAATTACTTTTCCTCTTGTCGTCTCCTGGAGAAAATACTGGAACTGACTCGGCTAATTAATTACTTTTTCTCTTGAAAATAAACGGGAAATAGACTCATAAATGGCTAATAAATTACTTGTCCCGTGTCTCGCCATTAAGAGAGAGTGGGAAAATAGTTCTTTATACTTTTATGATTGTGTAGAAGATAAGGTTAATGAGTTCGTTAGTTCGTGGCGGAGGAATACACAGGGGTCAGTGAGAAGGTATAGATGGTCAGGTGGTAGAATGTACTTGCTCATGTGTACAGTATAGTCCCAGGCTGGAGCTTCCTTTTATCGTTATTAAGTATAGTTAGGTAATTTCTCTCGCTCTATATCTCTATCTATTTCCTTCTCTCTCTCTCTCTATGAAATCCATGGCTACCACCACCTCCCCTGACCACATAATCTTTCCTTCATCTTCCTCACCGGTTTTACTGTTGTACGTCCTCAGTGTTCCGTGTGTGTGTATAGCCAATCTTCTCCAATTATCTCAGTCACTAGCACAAGCCATTAACAACCAATTACTTAACTCTTGTTATTGTCAGTGATTCGTTACCAAGTTAAACACATGAAACCCTTAGCTACTACAAGCGTTCCTTTATCATGTTCGACACTTGTGTGGTGAGCCAGGTTTAGTAAGGTAGGGTTTAATGTATATGTATTCGTTTATAAGTCAAGGTTGGGTGCTGTATAGGCCTATTGCAGACTCCGTATTTACTTATGTTAAGGGGGCTTTAATTAACGTGTAAAGTCGGTTTCATTCTTCCTCCTTGTATAACGTTATGATGTTATTACTGTTCTTCATCAATTAACATCTTTAAGCGCGTGCGCGTAACAAGGTTAACATCTACACCAGTTCAGCACGAGGTATGCGAGGCCAGTTCTTTGCTCTCGTTCCGCTGATGTGTATCACCGCACGTAACACACACATACACAATGGCGTCATGACACTTTACACACCAAGGAGAGCCATGGGAGTGTACACAACACAGCAGATGTTACACACACATTTTTGTAGAATTATCTGGCTGTTGATAACGGGGGAGAGTGACAGCTCCACTTAGCCAGTTTGTGATGGATATTTGTATCTAGTCACCCCCTCCCCCCGTTATCAACAGCCAGATAATTCTACAAAAATGTGTGTGTAACATCTGCTGTGTTGTGTAACATCTGCTGTGTTGTGTACACTCCCGTGGCCTGAAGAGTGTGATCACATCGTCAGGAACCTTCCCGTCCTCTTCTTCACCATAATGTGTTTCTCGCCTCGAACATTCGTTTTACGGAAGAGGCCGTACACTGGCTCCACACCCGCCCTGTACACAACATGTATGAAGACATCGAGACTATGACGC